CTAAAGAAAAACATTGTGCTAATACTTACCTAGTCGTCGGAACTTCAGTGCCGCTTCTCCGTTCACCTTCTCTAAGAGAAATCTGCATCCAGATCACTAGCTTTTAACAACCTGTGCCTCCCCGTCCCCCCTTAGTCCAGCCAATGAGAGTGTTTTCTGCAGCATGGGCAGGTGACATACACTTGGCACAGACCGGAGGATTTGATACCTGAGGAGAAGCTAATGTGATGGCTTTAGAAAGTAACATATCAGTCCACCTCATTCTCATGCCTCTGTTTCCCTTGTGTTATATCACGTAGAAGGACAATGAAAGTGCAGATGTTTACACATCATGAGCATACACCTGTATCCTCTTCATTTTTCATATGACTAAGAATCAACAAGAATTTATTTGATACAGTAAAAACAATGTAATTTACAAAGCTGAATTTTCAGCATTATGATCATTCAGAAATCATTCTAATATGCTGGTTTCTTATTATTATCAATGTTTAAAACATTGTTTGTTTTTTAGAAACCATGATACATTTCTCTTCAGGATTCTTTAATCATTAGAAAGTCCAAAAGAAAAGCATTTACTTGAATTAGACTGAATATAATTTGCTGTAGGATTTACTTTTAAATAATTTTCACTCAGAAACTTCTAGTACATTTCACAAATAATTACAAATAAATGGCAGGAAACACAGTTAAACATTACGTTTTAAAGTAGAGAGACGGAAATAGTTTTTTTTTATTTACAACTTTGTAAATAAGATTTTGTAACAATATAAATGTATTTACTCTCGCGTTTGATAAATTCATGGATCCTTGCTGAATAAAATGGACCTCAAACTTTGAATGGTAGTGTAAATGTTTATGTATTGTATATTATAAAATATTTAACTGATCATATCAGTCCATGATCACCGATGCTCTCTTGCAAACTTTCAGAAGCAAAATTGTGTGTTCCACAATGTGAAACAAAAGTTGAGTAAGTCATGATTTTCCCAAGGATCAAAGAGAATCAGAGACTTTTGGGGGATTTTTGAATGGTCTCAGCGGAGAAAACACTAACACTTGGGGGGCGAATGGTCGTGTATCCTAGACGCCTTCAAACCCTTCCATCAGACACACAGTCTACTTCCTAACAGTATAAACGTACAAAATTTGAACGAAGAAACCCCGGGTCAAAACTGCCTTCTACTGAAATGTGGCCTGAATTCTGTGTAACTGGTCCATTTGGCCGAAGCTCAAAGGGAAGCTAAATAATCAAAGCAAATGAGACGTTGGCCCATGAAACAAAGTCATGGCAGTCATTCTGTGGCCCTCCTTCAAGAAATCCAGCACTAGTGACTTTTATATCTCAGGGGGTTACTGACCAGAGTAACCCCAGAGTTAAGATGTTCATCTCGTACCTCTCCATGCGATATGATGTCTCCCAAGTGCAATGACATCATTCGAGGAGAAAACTTTTCAATTACACCTCCAGTGTTTGTCAGATCAGCAGAGTGTGATTAAAGCGTGACTGTGTTCATGACCAAGGTGTGTCATCTGGGTATAATCAAACTTCGACAATACACGTTATCGAAACTTTTAGGAAGAAACTTGCTGCCACAAAGCAAGGGTGTTATCTTAAAATGTTTTGAAAATGATTATGATGTGACTCGCATGTATTTAAGATGTAAGAAATAATATATTATTTTTACATTACATTTTTAGAAATTACATAACATTTTTGTTAAAACTAGTATAAAAGTTTTTCAACTGTTTTACACTAGATTTTTAAAATATTTTGACTCCAAAGGGAGTTATTCTCTGTATCAGTGCGCACTGTTTCTGAACTCCCTGAAACTCCTCCATTGTAGTCTTGAGTTTTCTTCCAGGAACGAACATGGATCCTCATTTACATTATTCCTGCCTATACCCGCGGTCACACAAGACTTTGAACACACAATATTTCTACGTGTAACCAGTTCTACTCGACCCAAGCGGGATTCAAACCTTGGTCTCTGGCGTGGGAGGCGGGCGTCCAGCATCAGTCCTAGCGCGCCTCTTGAGATCAGGAGAGTGAGGTTTACATACGGATACTGTAATGGTTGTGATGTGACGTCACACTTTGCGTCTTTTTTATAAACATGAATTCAACATAAAACAAATAGTAATACATTCAAAATGTAAATATATACAATCTACTCGACTTTACTGCAAAAATACGCATTAATTCAATTCAGCCAAGAGGTCACGCAAGACGTGACGTGTCGATCTTCTACTGGACACACAACACACATCTTCACGTGATGCGAATTCGCAGTTCACCAAACTGTTTTAGTTCCACCCATAATCAAATTTGGTTATAGGGGCGTGACATTTCTGAAACACGCTCAAAGCGATTGACCAATCACAACACACTGATCCAGCCGACCAATCAGAGCGCATTGTGCTTTTCAGAAGGAGGGGATTCATAGAGACAGGAACTAAACGAGTGTTACTGACAGACTGGGAAGAGAGGTGCTGCAACAATGTCAAATATGTGAAAAATAATGTTTTTTGAACATTCAAGCATTAAACCCTATTCCAGTAGACCCCAAAAACAAAATCAAGACTTTGTAAAAGGGCATAACAGGTTCTCAGCAGTGACACAACAACCATTTTGGGTTCCCCAAAGAACCATTCAGTGAACCGTTAAAAAAAAAAAAATTCTTTGAATATTTTTATAATCTAAATAAACTTTTTACACAATGGAAATTTTCCATGGATGTTAAAGGTCCTTCATGGAAGCACAGATGCCAATAAAGAACCTTTGTTTTTAAAAGTGTATGCACTGAAATCGAATACTATACAGGTTTATTAAAAACAATAGTAGCTAGTGATGCTTTCCTTAGCAAACAGCACTGTTTTAGCAGGCATTAGCCTCTCCACTTACAGTAGACTGGTCTAACACTGTTTCTGTGTACACAAGGGCACCTTTTGGGAGAACGAGGGGGGATGCAGTGGGTTGTTACTTGAGCCTGAGATACACACCCTCTCGTTGCCGTTACAGACGCCATATGCATTAGCTTCAAGAGGCTCAAATGCCCTGTGCTAAATGACCAGGTAGGCAAAATGGAAACCATTAGTCAAACCAAAGATCTGCCTCACTAAGCTTCCAGTACTAGTAGTGCACCACAAAATAAATCCCAGTGGACTTCTATGATGAAAATGAAATCAATAAGCCATTATTCAGCCTCTAGAAGGTCAACAGTATGCTAAGCACTTTTCTGAATCACAGTTTTGCATCAATTTATATATATGTTTACTTGCTGCATCCCTAAATGGATCCTTCACTGGACAAGCCATGCAACTTCATGTCAGGGCATGATGTAAAATAACTGGTTTCAAAGAGTTAAAGGGATAGTTCCTTCAAAAAGGAAAATTCTGTCATCATTTACTCACCCTCATGTTGTTTCAAACTTGTAAGAGTTTATTACTTCTGTTGAACACAAAAGAAGATATTTTGAAGAATTTTGGTAATTAAACAGTTGATGGCACCCATTGACTTTCATAGTAGGAAAAAAAATATGGAAGTAAATGGGTGCTGTCAACTGTCTGGTTTACAGGTTTACTACAATCTTTCATCGACAAATGTGTAAAACGCATAGCAGTTCTAAATTGGTGGCTGACATGTACAGTAACATGGACATTCATTATCTTATTTTTTCACTCCCTCTTGATTAACATATGGGAAAAGTGTATTTAGGACATAATTGGTCACCAGTTTTGCATACAAAATAATAGTCAGAAAAACATTTTATTGAACCTGAAGGCGAAATATAAGATATATAATGAGAATATTTAAAAAAAAGTTTGCATAGGGCTGTATGTTTTATGTATTGTATGATATTTGATACATAAGGCTATTTGGACAATATAGTGATATTGGAGAATAGATGGTGAAAAAAAAAAACATAAATTTGATGGCCCAAACTGAGGATAAAAATATGCAATTTGGTGCTTGTGTTGTTATTTAAATGGTCAAAAAGTATGAAATTCTGATAGCTTGTAATGTAAAAAAAAATCTAAAATAACAAACCATATAATGCAATACAATGATGATTGAAAGATGTATATAAATGTTCCTCAAGAGAGTGTTGTATCATTTTATACATTTAAATTATATATGGAGATCTTATAATAAGAGATTGTGTACAACAGGTAAAGTTTTGATAATTTAGAGGATTAAGAAATAGAAAAATGATACAGAAGGGTTTTTTTTGCCTTTATGCTTAATAAAGGCAAAAATGCTTTATGCTTAGTTAATTTTAAATTCTCTTACAGTGTGGCAAATTACTGCAAAATTTTACGAAAAAAATAGTTTGACTACTTTTAAGTGTATAATAATGTATAATGTATATAATAAGTGTATATATTAGTAGTTTAACTATTTCTTCCAAAACCTTTTAGCATTTTCATTTGCCTTGGTTTTGGTTTTATTCGATTGGGATAAAGTTGACATTTCACCATATTTTTGTATATCCTATTTTTGCAAAGAACAATAAATACACCAAACAATGGGTAACCATATTAAATATTCTAAAACGGGGCTTACAGTTCAGGCGTGTAACAAAAATAAATTAATGCAATAGCCTAATTACAAAAAAACAACATCTAGATGAAAAAATATTAGGCCTAAACCATTCTTCTCTAATTTGTTGTACAAACCCAACAAAAAATCTACTAAAAGTTCTAAAAAAAAAAACAATTATGCTTATGAAATTTACCCCCTAAAAACAATGGATAGGCTACAACAAAGTACAAAACAAAACCTCAATTCTGCAGCCAGTGTCAACAGCCTGGCCCTGTTTTTTTGGTTGTTGTTTTTTTAATGCTTGATAGAACAGTAACACCAATTGTCCTCATTGTCATACCATAACAATATAACAATACTCCAGGGTCCTTCAGTCTCCTCTGAGTGGCCCTGTTTTTTCTCCTGAGCACAGCTAGCCTACGTATGACGTCACGACATTTTAGTCATCAATTGGTACGTCACGTTGCGGCATCGGTAATACAAAAAAAAAAAACAGTTTGTTGAAATGTAGTCTGACGTAGGCTTCTCAAGCTAACGGACAGATATGATGTAATTTCTTTAGCGTTTGTGTCTTTTTCCCGGTGCTGCAGTCGGTCGGTCACGCAGCGCGCGGAGGAAGTCAGAACAGCAGCATGACATGTGCAAGTGACGAACTAGCGATATATAGCGTGCTTTGAAACTGTCGGTGACGCACGCGAACGGGTAAATAACCGTCCGTTTGGAGCGGAGACTCGTTGAAGACGCTAGCTAGCGGCACGGATGGCTTTATGGGAGGGAAAGGATTCGCTGTCGTTGGGGGTAATGGGATCTGTGCGGTTATATGCAGCCCGTCGGTAGGGCAGAGCAAAACCATACTGCAACTGAAAGCACCGGGATCTCTCTCCATCGGCACATTATAATATAACCGCCGGACATTTAGGCGTTTGCGTCGCTGTGTTCGGGCTTTCAGGTGGGATATCACACGTCGGGCTGCAGATGGCCTTTAATATCGGTCAAATGAAGTAATTTGAAGCCCATACTTCAGTCCCCGTGTGCAGTCTTGAGCGTGTGATGATAGGAGACACAATGACGCTTTTGTCTCTTTTGGGTCGCATCATGCGTTATTTCTTGCTCAGGCCAGAGACCTTGTTTCTGTTGTGTATAAGCTTGGCCCTTTGGAGTTACTTCTTCCACACGGACGAGGTGAAAACCATCGTTAAGTCTAGCCGGGATGCCGTGAAGATGGTGAAGGGGAAAGTGGCGGAGATGATGATGAACGACAGGCTCGGTGGTCTGGATGTGCTGGACGCGGAGTTCTCCAAGACATGGGAGTTCAAGAACAACAATGTCGCGGTGTACTCGATACAGGGCCGAAGAGACCACATGGAGGACCGCTTCGAGGTCCTCACCGACCTGGTCAACAGGAGCCACCCTTCAATCTTTGCCATTTTTGACGGACACGGCGGGGAGGTAAGAAGTGTGGATGCTGAGGAGAGTCGTCGTAAAAGATTTACATACGAAATGTCCGCGGTTCCCAGGACGATACGTTACCATTGTTGAAATGTTAAGCATAAAAAGAATGTTCGAGTAACGTTAGGAATTGGTTCCCAAAATAACCAAACACGTTCTGTGTTATTTGGGACGACCTTCAACGGAATAGTTCATGCAAGATGTGTTTACTCGCCCTCGTGTTGTTCCAAACCCGTATTAATTACTGACTCACATCTGTAGAACATAAAAGGGAAAATACGAAGCAAATCATGGACTCTCTTTCATATACTACTGAAAGCGAATGGGGACTTGATTTCCCAAATGTCAACAAATCAAAAAAGTTCATAAATTACCAGAGACTTATCACAAAAATCACTTTGAACAGGTGCCGAAGTAGTAGCCGAATAAGAGAGTGAATATGCTTAAAGGAGTAATTTCACACGTCCATGCCTGTATATCCTTTTGTTTTACTTCTGGTGTAATTTTACTCCATACAATTAGTGAATTGTCTTTTGTGGTAGATGGACGAAAGAAGGTTGAACAGATTTGGAACAACATGAGTAAATAATGGGTGAACTGTCCCTTTAAGGCTGACTTTTTTCAAGAGTTTATACACTATATTATCAAACCAATGGGCTAATTAACACAAGTTGTCGTTCTGACTTAAATCTGACCAACATTTAGGCCTACTGTGTAGGCATTGCACGTTTTCTGTTTACTTTTCTGTTGTTGTTGTTGTTGTTTTTTGGTGCTCCCTTAATATCATGTATCAGCCATTAAAAATATACTTTTTGTTGACCACAATTTACACCCCCCTCAAAATACTTATGTTTCAGTATTGCTTCCAAATAATAAACGGTTAACCCACAATCTTTTTTGGTGTGTTAAAAATTAGAAAACAAACTGCCTTTATAATGGTTATATACTCCTAATGCTGCCAATTGAGATTCCCATGATACTTGTCTGAGGCATTCAGTCTCCCCAACCCATTCCCCAGCCCATATGGAGCTCAGACAGATGTTCATTTAATCTTTTTCATTGTTTGGTAAAACAGATGAACGCTGGTTGGCCTAAAGCTTGAATGCCTTCGGAGATGCTTTTGAGTAATGAAATTAACAGCTCACAAGAGGATGCATGTGGAAACCTATTAAAACAGCTCAGAAAACTCATTTGAATTTTACCGATCCACCATTTTCCTCAGCTTTCAAGTCTGCTGTTTCTGGCTCCCACGATCATATATGGAATGCCTAAAATTATTCAAATCTATTTATAGTGGTATTTGTTTAAATGACCAGAGGCCTCCCTGCAATCCAGGCAGATTAAAATGTGCCAACCTCTTGCTCTTCGGCCCCTGTAAAAGGCCTTCTAATCTACACTATCTCCTCTCAATAATATTTGCTGACTCAAACGTCCTGACATTATGAGTCTTATCTGTATGTTGATACTGGCTCGTTTTTTGGTTGTGAAAGCCCATGATGATTATTACCTGAACTAAACTCTTAATGTTGGGTAACTTGCACATCCACTCGTTGGAAAGAAGAATGCTGGATTGTATTACTAGTGAACTTCAGGGCTTCAAACACTGTAGACTTTAATAGGAAAAGAGGGATGAGATGGATTCAGAAGAGCTGACCAGATTAGGATTCTGTATGTTGTAAAGAAGAAATATATAGGCTATATGGCCTGTGTGTGTGTGTGTGTGTGTGGACCGTTCAAACATTTGGGGTCAGTATGATTTGTTTTTAAGAAATTAATTATAAATTTAAAATGTAATTGTAAATAATTGTTCATTTTAGTTAATTTTGTTCAGCAGGGATACATTCATTATTATGCCAATAAATACTTTTACATTGTTACAGAAAAAGCTGTAAAAAAGTATTTTAGAGGATAGATAAGAGTATATTATGCAGCACAACATTGATAATAATAAATAAATCATCATATTAGATTGATTTCTGAAGGATCATGTGACACTGAAGACTGGAGTAATGATGCTGAACATTCAGCTTTGCATCACAGGAATAAATTACATTTGAACACATTTCAAAGTTATTCCAAATTGTAATCATATTTCACAATTTTGCTGTTTTTACTGTACTTTTGATCAAATGAATGCACTTTTTTTCTTCGCAACAGCACCAGAGCAGAATAGCAACACTTTTAGGTTTAATTATACATTTATTTGTCCTGAAATTATAGAGGGAGTCTTTTCCAGCCTCCCACAATGTTCAGTGCATAAATCTGATACCCAAACAAAAGTACGAACACCCCACCCAGTCAAAAGTCTGAGCCGATTTTTTGGATTGACTTTTTAAGCTGCTTCCAATCAGCAATTATCTTTTTTTTTTTATTGTTATTTATTGCAGCTGTGATTGGCTTCTTGAACAACAGCCGACTGATCGATACACATCCGTCATACTGTGGATAGAATTTGCATGTGTAATCTCAATTTATAGCCTATGCAAAAATAAGTCGTGATTTAAAATATCAGAAGTCAAATCTAGGTCTGGAAATATTTGATCCAGGGGGCCTGTTAAAAATACCCCGTTAAATAGAGTCTTGTTACATGATTTTGCCCTGTGGTGACTGCTAATGATGAGGGCTCTCGCTAACATGACTAGCACAGTCGGCCTAATCAACGCTTCCCTTACTCTTCTGTCACGTGCTCGTCCTTTATTCCCCGGTGCTCTGGTTTTCTCCTCATTAGAATCTTGAATTAGGCCTGGGAAATTGTAGCCTTGGAAAACCCAGACAACTTCCGGCAAATTTAGATTTGCTCTGAAAGTTAGTCTGGCAAAGCTCATTTCCAATCCGGCGAAATCGCGGCACCAATCAGAAACGTTGGGGCGGGTTTTACACGATGACGACAGCGCTGGGATTTTGAAGCAGATTTTGTAGCCTACATTACAAAGATGGATGCCGCCGTCGAACATCACTCGGTCGAATCAGCTATCGCGTCTGTTTTAAGCGATTTGAACATTTCCTTTTTGTTAAAAACAGAGCAAAGGTTAAAAACGCTCTGCATCCGTCTTCTCCTTCATCGCTCTGATTGGTTTTAGGTCTATCCGTGACGTCCGTTGGTGACGCCCCTCTGGAAATGATTTGTCTATGACGCTTTGCCAGACCATAACTCAGTTACAACTGAGAATGGTCTGGTTTTAACCAGGCTAGGTAAATTGAGCTTTTAATTAGCAATGGAAATCGTGTGAGTTATTTTACTCTCAAAAAATTATGATCAATAAGTTATGACAACATATGTTTTTACATTGCTTTAACTCATAAAAAAGGTTGAAAATTGTTCAACTTATTTTGATAAGTTATATAAGATTTTTATATAAGATAATATAAGATATAAGATGAAATAACTTACACATCCGAGTTGATTGTACCTAAAAATGTAAGGCAGCATCATTCAAAAGATTTATGTAATGTTTTTGAAAGAAGTCTCTTGTGCTCAACAATGCTGCATTTATTTGATGGAAAAATACAGTAAAAACAGTAATATTGTGAAATATGATTGCTACATTTAATTTAATATTCAACAATAATATTGATCTGCCTGCATTGACACTACTAGAACTGTACTGAGCTGGACGATGACATCACGGTTTACTCCAGAGCGACTATATAAATAAATGAACTAAATTAATAACTTTTTTACAACAAAAATGAAACATCCTATAGGTAAACATGCTATTTTCTTCTGGAAACACACTTTTTTGCATTATTTTCCTGTCATCTCTGTAAAGCTGCTTTGAAACAATCTGTATTGTAAAAAGCGCTATATAAATAAATGTGACTTGGCTTAAAATAAATACTTGTTTTTTAGATGAATACTTGTAGTAATTTACCATTTATTTGAAAACTATATTTGTGTAGGATTGCTATGGAAGCTTGTTTCCGACCGCCACAGAATAAAACATAAAAAAGGTAATTCTGACTTTTTGTCTCAGAATCGTGTGATAAACTCGAGGTATAAAGTCGCAATTACCTTTCATAGTCAGAATTTGGGTGATAAATAAGCTTAATAGTCTATAAATAAAAATAAAAAAATCTTGATGGTCCTAAAAATAGACTTGCTTTCTTTAAACTTTCGATGTTTCATGAGATTGACATGCACTGCTATGTTTGAGTTAAACACGTCCAATCTTCCAAACACAGGTGCGTAACACCAGTAATAGAGCACTCATTGTGTTGGTGTGTGAATGAAGTAAAATGGCTGCTTGACTGGAGTGTGTTTGCGGTGGGAGGGTCTTGAGCGGGTCACTGCGGGTCACCCCCGCCCCACTGTCTTTGTTCCTGAGACACAATGATGAACATACTTTCAACAATTCAGACTGTGACACCCTGCAAATTGTGCTATATACCGATGAACATAATTGTTATTGGCTACTGTAGATTGACTACTTTGCCCTTTTCAGATGGAAGTCTAACTATGCTAAAGTCATTTGGGCAAACATTTTGATTATTACCGTATGAGATTATATACCTAAAATCTGGACCATTTAGGAGCAGAATTCAGCAAGGCCGCAATCTCTGATCCGAGAGGCTCCTCTCTTCATAGCAACTCTGTGCTATTTACGGGTTTAAAATCCCCGCTATGTGCACCTGAGCTGTATGTGCTTATGCTGTGAGTGTTCTGCATGAGCACTGCTTCTGTGTAAATAATGCATAGGCTTCATGAGGAGGCTCTGCCGTGTCTCCTCTGAAAAGCAGCAGCTCCGTGTTGGCCGGGAAGTGTCTTTGGAAAGTGACTGCAGCGTGCTCTTGGCAGACAGGTATTATGTTTGCTTCTCTGGTTTCATCACTGTATTTATAGCGTGGCATTGCTGAGTCACTGGCGAAGGCTCACAGTTGAAGATGCACAAGGCTGTAGTGTGAGTTGCTGAGAGGAATCCAAACCATCCTGACTGATGATGGGGGCACGAGAGACAGCGGAGTTAGGCGATGGGATAATGCTCTTGACTCTATGTTTTGGTGATCTGGCAGTATTTGGAAAGGGCACTCGCTCTCTTGAGACTCTGTCCTCCATCTGTATTCTGCTGCAAACTCCATCTGGCAAGAGCTCTTAGGCCTCTTTTAAAGCGATAGTTCACCCCAAAAAAAGAGAATGTTCTGTCATCATTTACTCACCCTCATGTCTACCTGTCTGTCTGTCATCTGTCTGTCTGTCTATCTATATCTGTCTCTGTCATCTGTCTGTTTGTCTATCTATCTCTACCTGTCTGTCTGTCATCTGTCTATATCTGTATGTCTGTCAGTCTATCAATCTCTATTTGTCTGTCTATCTATCTCTATCTGTCTGTCTGTCTGTCCATCTATATCTCTATCTGTCTCTCTGTCATCTGTCTGTTTGTCTATCTATCTCTATCTGTCTGTCTGTCTATATCTCTATCTGTTTCTTCGTCTGTCTATCTATCTGTCTCTCTGTCATCTGTCTGTTTATCTATCTTTATCTATCTATCTATCTATCCGTCTGTCTGTCTATCTCTATCTGTCTGTCTGTCATCTGTCCGTCTGTCTGTCTATCTCTATCTGTCTCTCTGTCATCTGTCTGTTTGTCTATCTGTCTGTCTCTGTCTACTTTCTATCTATCTATCTATATCTGTCTATCTATCTATCTCTGTCTGTTTTTCTATCTATCTGTCTATCTAGTCTGTCTATCTGTCTGTCTGTCTTTCTATCTATCTATCTATCTCATCTGTATGTTTGTCTGTCATCTGTCTATATCTGTCTGTCAGTCTATCAATCTCTATTTATCTGTCTGTCTATATCTCTATCTGTTTCTTTGTCTGTCTATCTATCTATCTGTCTCTCTGTCATCTGTCTGTTTGCCTATCTATCTGTCTGTCTGTCTATCTATATCTATCTGTCTGTCTGTCTATCTATATCTATATGTCTCTGTCATCTGTCTGTTTGTCATTCTATCTGTCTATCTGTAATCTGTCTGTTTATCTATCTGTCTATCTGTAATCTGTCTGTTTATCTATCTGTCTGTCATCTATCTGTCTGTCTGTCTATCTCTATCTATCTGTCTGTCATCTGTCCGTCTGTCTGTCTATCTCTATCTGTCTCTGTCATCTGTCTGTTTGTCTATCTATCTGTCATCTGTCTGTCCATCTGTCTGTCTCTGTCTACTTTCTATCTATCTATCTCTGTCTGTTTTTCTATCTATCTGTCTATCTATCTATCTAGTCTGTCTGTCCATCTTTCTGTTTCTATCTGTCTATATATCTATCTATCTCTGTCTGTCTTTCTATCTATCCATCTCATCTGTATGTCTGTCTGTCTGTCTATCTGTCTGTCCGTCCTTCTGTCTCTGTCTGTCTTTCTATCTATCTCGTCTGTATGTCTATTTGTATATCCATCCATCTATCTATCTGTCTGTCTGTCTCTAAATCTCATTTCCATTATGCAAAAATCATTTAATTTAAATAATCCTATTATTTAATATTAAACTGTAATGAGAAAGTATATATTATTTAATGTGTGTGGTGTTTGTTTTACTGCCTTTTCATTTATGCTGATTTAAATATAAAAATCATAATTTTGCAGTAATTCATCATTGAGAATATAATGAGAATCACAATGAAGAATGGACATTTCAAAAATTGAATTTTCAGTTGAATTATAAATTATATTTAACAGAATCCACTGTTCAAAAGACAATTTAAAAGAAACCAGTTCAGTAAATGGATGAAGTTTCCGGAATCAATGAGTAATGCCACTAAATAAGCCTGATCTCAGTATATTGACCAGAATTATAGAGACTTATAATATAGTGGAAATAGGTGCTAAATTGTCATGAAAATAATGTCACAAAAAATCTTAATGGTCTTTAATAAATATAATATCTTTTGCTTTGGGGCCGGGTGAAGTGTGACCTGGACACTTTAAGTGAGATTCTTGTTGATCAGAAGCTCATCTGCATGTCTTCCTCTGGTCCGTCTCTCAGGCGGCTGCTGATTATGTGAAGGCCCACCTGCCCGAGACTCTGAAACAGCAGCTGCAGGCCTACGAGCGGGAAAAGAAAGACAGCTCTCTCTCCCATCCCTCCATCCTAGAGCAGCGCATTCTGGCTGTGGACCGGGACATGGTGGAAAAGTTCTCTGCCTCTCATGATGAAGCAGGTGAGCGTGTGTTTCAGGGGGGTCTGTTCTCTGGAAACAGTAAACCACTCTCAATTCCTCCCCTCTGTTTTCAGGCACAACATGTTTGGTGGCCTTGTTGTCAGACCGTGAACTGACTGTGGCAAATGTTGGAGACTCGCGCGGCGTTCTCTGCGACAAGGACGGCAACGCTGTGGCCTTGTCACATGATCACAAGCCTTACCAGCTGAAGGAGCGCAAGAGGATCAAGAGAGCCGGTGAGTTTGCCCACTGCAAGGCAGAAGAGCTGGTTTTGACTTTTGCAACAAACAAACAAAAATGATTCAGCTACCAAAAACGTCTTTAAAAAAAATAACAACACTTTTTGACATTTTTACAAATGTATGACCTTTTTCACTTTGGTTTTTGTCTTATCAATGATCATGATCATTTTTCAAAGGACATTTTCTTAAAAGAGATCATATAGTAGATCCCCTAGAGATCTCTATTTTTAGAAAATTACTTCTTAAATGATAAAGCTAATCATTTTTTTAGAGGGGTTTTTGAACATGTTTTATTTCTTTGTTAGAACAACAAAATAAATTCAATACACATTTACACAATACACAAATAAATATACACATTGATTGGCAGTGGTTGGTAATTTGATTTGACAGTTGACATTTTATGGGCCATTGCATCTTAAAGGCTTTTTTTATTTGCATACGTATTATTATTGAAGATGATGATGATGATAATAATAGTAATAACTTTTTTGTTTGTTAAAACAAGTTCTTATTTTTTAATAACATTTTGATTTATAACACCTGTAAAATAAGATAATGTATTATTATCATAATCAGAACTTACGTTAAAACAGCAATATTTATTTTTAAATTAATTTATTATTAATAATGATGATAACTTTTTTTCTTTCTTAAAACAACATTTATCTTTTCAATAACCTTCTGATTTAAAATCCCTGTAAAAAAAAATATTATTATTATTATTAATAATGATAACTTCTTTGTTTGTTAAAACAACAATATATATATTTTTTAAATAACCTTTCGATTTAAAAAAACAACATAATTATTAAGGACACACCAATAGTATTATTACTATAGTAATATTTTTCTTTATGGGCTTGTTTAATTTTTGTAATTTAATCAAATAAAAGTGTTATTTTTATAATAATCATAATAGCTGCCCTAGAGCCCGCTATGGCGTTTGTGTCTGTCACCTTTTTCTGATGAGTTTGACCCCTGCATATTATAATAGCAGTTGTGACATTTTCTGTATTTTACACAATCACATTATTGTTTTAATATGCAAATGTGTGCATATTTAATAAGCTCGATCATTTACTTTTTTTTTTAAATTGCATATTTACGAAAGTTTAAATGGGGAAAGTCACAATACAGGAGTCTTTTGTGTATTTTAACATGACAGTTTAATTTGAATTAAATTGGTTAGTTAACAGACATAATTCTACTTTTCAGTTTAATACAGTCATCAGGTCTGCTGTTAAGACTATGACCATTTTTGATGAGTTTGCACTGCCTTTCTGGCAGTTCCCGATGACTTCACGGTGTGAATATAACACGTGTCTGTGACCTCATCCATCAGGTGGCTTCATCAGTTTCAACGGTTCTTGGCGTGTGCAAGGCATCCTGGCCATGTCGCGCTCGCTGGGTGACTACCCTCTGAAGAACTTGAATGTGGTCATCCCAGACCCAGATATCTTGACCTTTGACCTGGACAAGCTCCAGCCGGAGTTCATGATCCTCGCCTCGGACGGCCTGTGGGACGCGTTCAGCAACGAGGAGGCCGTGCGCTTCGTGCGGGAACGCTTGGACGAGCCGCACTTCGGCGCCAAGAGCATCGTCCTGCAGTCGTTCTACCGCGGCTGCCCCGACAACATCACCGTCATGGTGGTGAAGTTCAAGAGCAGCTCTGGGACAAAAACTGGAGAGTAGTTTTACTCCACCAATAAACAGCCTTGATTGTCTATCCATTATTGCATATCGCTAGATGGTGTAATGTAAGAGACAAACCTTTTTTCTCACAATTACAATAAACTGGCACACATAAGCATGTGCAAACACATGCATTCCCAGTTTTCTTTTTTTCTTTTTGTGTGTGTGCCAAATGGACACTTTAAACATTTATTTGACACTGTAAAGATGACGTATCCTGGCCTTCCTTATATAGAGCAATATTATTTGTGAAACAGCAATTGGCATAAATGGCAGAAGGACGTCTATTGCCTTGAAAATGCACTCGTAGTATTTTGTTCAGAAGAACAGATCAGAGCTTTATATTTTTGCTCTTGTTTGTTGTTTTTTTCCCCCTTGTTTTTGTGAATTAAAGAGCTGATAAATGTATCCAGCTCTTGAATTTGGATGTGCATGATCCATTCATATGAGTACAGGGCATTTATGCCGATTTACACTGGTGCTGCTCATCGGTTAGTTTAAATGAGGGTGGTATAAGTTTGTGTTAGATTAAGAATGTTAATCTTTGATTAAACTTCATAATTGGTCTGTGTCCCAATCATTATTGTGAGAAGGAAGAGTTTTCCAGTCATTCCTGCTCTTTTAAGTCACTGTTTTAATGGTTATGTGAATACAAATGTGGCCGGATTGAAGACAGTGTGTTATGTGATTTATTTGTGAAGACTGTTGAATTAATTCTGGCGTACAGTCCTCCAAGTTTCCTCCTAGTTTACTGGGATTGGCACCAGCCCTGATCTACACAAACGTTGAATTTCTTGCACTGTGTGAAATGTATGTGGGAGATTAAAGCGATAAATAAACCTAACAAGTCAAAGCTCATACTGCTTGTTTTTGTTCTCTCTGATATTGATATGATATTCAGCAAGGACACATAAAATGTATCATGATTGACAGTAAAGTTTAAAAAAAAAAAAAAAAAAATGCTTTTGAACTTTCTATTTCTAACAGTTTATGGAAAAATATTAGGCAGCATTTTTTCAACATTGATAATCATAAGGAATGTTTCTTGAGCATCAATTCATCATATTAGAATGATTTCTGAAGGATCCTGTGACTGAAGACTGGAGTAATGACACTGAAACTTCAGCTTTGTATCACAGGAATAAATTACAAAATATAGGTCAGCATAAGAGACTTTTCTCAACAACAAAAAAATCTTTTTTTTTAAACTCCTACCGACCGCAAACTGAATGGTAGTGTATATACATTATAAGGACAAAAGTGTTGGGACACTGAATTTCAGTTGTTTCGATCAGACGCATTGCCACAGGTTTATAAAATCGAACTGTTACTGTATATCCATATAGTGTATAGATTATATACGGGGACAACTGGGAAAATGCCCCTTTCCTCCATCAAATCTTTAGTATCTTTAAACAAAAGCTGTTGTCTTTAACCTTTTTATAAGCATTTCAATAACATTTTAATGAATTCCTAGATTGGTCTTTGTAACAAAAATACATCAGATTTACGATATCATGAATCATAACGATTCATAAGACATTTTGGTAACACTTTACAATAAGGTTCAAGATGGCATTTTCGGCAGACAGGGCCTTTATTGTTTTCATGTGGGAAATTGACAGTATAAGCAAAGCTCATAGATTAAGAGGAAAATAATAAACAAATAGAATAAGCATATGACGCATGGTTGTTCCAGTCAGAGTGACATAATGGTCTGCACACGTATTTCCACAGTAACCTTACACTGCAGTGCAGTATTCCTGAAGCATACCGAGCTTTACCGGTGATGCTGAGCAGTCCATCGTGACAACAGAGAGCAGGTGTAAAGCCTCAGAATAGCACCAGCATTGTGGAGTCCAGTATTAAAGTCCCCAAGTGCCTGTTGTCACTGAGTAAGTTGTCTATAAATCTCCCCCTACACAGTCTTACTGGATCTGACACTGTAGTTCAGTTGCCGTAACGTATAAATCAGTTGCCGTACGTTTGGGGTCCGAGTTTAAAGAGGCCTAACGTTATATATTTCAAGGATTTTACCACGCGCAGCCGGAGCACAAGAATGGGCCAGTGCAGTTTAAGGACATCCGAGCAGTTTAACGAGTTCACGTCACATACAACTATAAAGATGTGTGAAAAACGTACTCCTGGCATTCCGCAGGGGAAATGGCGAACGGACGTCTCTCCGTATGAAGCGGTCGCGGACAGGCGACGCCGCGGTCACGGGCACGGGCACTGCTCTGGACTGGTGTTCGTGGCAGATACGACAGGCGGGGTCTGGATTGATAAAACCCTCGGAAGACAACGGTGAGCCCTTTGGATGTGAAGTTATGGTCGCTGTTGTTCTTGTTGCTCCCTGAAATCTATCCTGAGGATTTCTAAAGGTGACGCTGACACAGTCAATAATCCAGTGCTGGAACTAAGTATCTGGAAGGCTTGGGATGGTGATTCCTGGATATCTGAGGGAGACATACCATTCACTTTTTTTGTTTGGTAGACTGAAAAATGTTTATTTGAAGACTTTTTCCAAGACATTTATCATCAAATGTTCTTTTATAAATATATATTTTAGTCCACTTGTTGTGCCAGTCATGATCATGCATGTGGTCAGCTGATAAAAGTAATGGGAAGCCCATACTTATTTCTTTAAACTTATGGTCACATATCCCAGTCTCAGGGCAACTTAACTGAGAACCTTTATTTCATATGTTTTCATTTATTTATTTATTTTGCAGGAAGTTCAAGTTCCTTTATGTATGTCAATTGACATCATCTTTATTTTCTTTTGGATCTTAAACTAAACAGTGAAAGATTTTTTTCAGCCATGTTGAGCATGAGATTCTATGAAAGAGATGCAATTTAATTGAATTTATTTATCATGGAATATTTATTCAGTTTAAATGTTTTGTACAGTGAGGAATTCCACAGGACACCGTTCAGGCATTCTTAGCAGCATATCGTTTGGGAGGTGTCCTGTGATACTTTGACCCATTATTCATACAGCTATGTAGATAAGCTAGATATAATACATCACTGAGTAACGCAGGCAGACTCCATCTTAAGTAAACTCACATTTGCCAAGAGAAGACTGTAAGAAACATTGGTGTTTGTAAAACATCAGACATTTACAATGGGCCTTTCAGGATCCAGACACAAACCTGAAGCACGTATCCTCCTCCTAGGGCTTGACGGAGCTGGAAAATCAACTCTTCTTTACAAACTGAAATACAATGAGGACTTCCACACAGTTCCTACAATTGGATTCAATGTAGAAATGATCGAAGCCAAGAAGAACAGGGACAAAATCTTCCTGACCGTGTGGGACGTTGGCGGTCAGATAAAGATGCGAGCGCACTGGAGGAATTTTTACCAAGACACAGCTGGAATTGTGTTCGTGGTGGACTCTTCTGATATTAAGCGTCTGGACGAGGCCAAGGGCATCCTGGAACAGACCTTAAAGAGCGAGCACCTCAGGGGACTCCCGGTGGTGGTTCTTGCCAACAAGCAAGATATTGTAGGAGCTGCTACAGTAACAGAGATCACAGAGCAGTTTAACCTGAGAAAGAGTTGCAGTGAACGAGACTGGTTCATTCAGCCGTGTTCGGCGCTGACTGGAGCAGGTCTAGTGGACGGTTTCAGACGAATGGCACACCATGTGAAAAAGACACCCGAGGACAATAACATCAAAGAGACCGTGAAGTATATAAAATCAAAATCTGTTATGAAGAAATAGCCCACATGGTAACTTATGAATCACTTTTATGGAAGGTTGTGTATACTATCCTACTAAATATAGTTGACAGTTCATAATCATGTGCAACCCTATAAGGTTTAAATGAGTCACACACATTTGCAAGATACTGAAAACTACCTTGAGATGTTCTAAACGAATTCAGAAATTCATGAATACAGCAACCAAGCCTTTGAAGTACATACAATCTTTTATAAAGAAATAAATGTCTATGCAAACATCAAAACCTGTTAACTCACAGAAAGTGACATGTTCAGTCATGTGATTTGAATGACAAATTGAGTTAAAATGCACCATAAAAGCTGCTAAATGTTACCTTGATTTAGAATTCATGAATATATTTATTGATACGTGCTGTGAAGTAGGTTTCATATTGTATGTCCATTTTTCTTTATTTTAGAACACAAAACAGGTTCATATTTACATTATGCGATTTGAATTAGAAATGTAATAAAGGTACCATAAAAGGTGCTAAGTGTTACCTTAAGTTATAATCCATGAATTTATTTATTACAGTATATGCTGTGAAATATACAGAACTTACTATTGTGCAATTTTACTTTTTATAGGACAAACTTTGTGCCTTTATAAATTTAAACAAATTCAACAAACTAGCTTGCACACTTTTTCTGTGACTACAGCATCCACAGTAATGGCAAGGACCAAGATGAGATGTAATAAAACTTTTATTTATAGAAAAAGTCACATTGTCAGTTTCCATTTTTATTCTTGCTCATTTTTAAGTGGAAGGGTGGGGTGGTGGGTCATTATTCAAACCCACTTCCGTCTTCTGAACCAAAAAGATCAGAAGCATTAAGGAACAGGCCGTCCTCTAATGGACGGAAGCTTCTAGTCTCCGGAGCAGTTTTAAACTCCAGCTCATCCGTCACGGGACTCATTTGGGTCGAGTTGAATAAGAACTCCGGCTCCTCAGTAACAGATGCGGAGAAGACCTCAGCTGGGCCGAACCGCGGGTGTGCAACTGACTGGGTGGTGGTTCCTTGCTTTGGCATCAGAAGCAGAGGACCCAAGGTAGCAAGCTTCCAGTCTGTTATAAAGGGAGAAGGGTGTTTGATTGTCACATGATATCTTGAATTAATATGGATGAAGAATAAAACATTGAAATCATGCAAACCTTGGTTCGTGTCGGTTCCTCTCTTTGACTGACCACCATAGGCATATTGCCTTGACTGTATGAGAGCTCTATAGGGTTCCAATGACTGACCGGGCATCACTTCAACGAAATCGGCAGGCCCAGATTTGGGTCCCACCTTTGGCTGCATGACAGGAGGGGCTTGTGTGATGCGGAAAGGCTTGATTGGTTCAGGCTCGGCCGCACCTTGTTTGGATGGCTCACAGCTGTTACACACCTCATCATTTCCATCCACAGACTGCCACCTGCAGAGTTCATATGGGTTCTTACATAAAGAACCACTGACTGATATACCAAGATTTAAATATTTGAGTCATTACCTTCCATCAATAAAAGAACATGCTCGATTTTGAGCGCTCACAGAATACGCAGCAGGGATGGCTTTTAGGTAACATGTGATGTACACCTGTTTCAAATAAAACCAGGAAGCAATGGGGTCCAAAAAAGACACATTGACAAATTGCATTTCACAGACCAAAGGTCATTGAGGTTTAGAATGATATGATTCATGACAATTTCACTACACTACTCTTAAAACACTAGGCATCATACACTTGACGACTTTGCAAATGGTTTCAGAGTAAAATCTGGGCATCATACACTAAACGACTGAGGATCAAAACACAAACTGTGATGCATGGCAAATGAAACCAATGAGCCCTTAACCCAGCTCAATATCAAACATGTTTTATATCCTCCCACTGGATGGAACTAAAACCTGAAGCTTAAACATTGTTCCAATTATACACACTGCACAATTTATTCATATATATCTGCCAACTCTGCAGACTGGCAACTAGTGCTGACTTGTCAAGAATGCAAAGGAGTAAAAAAAAAGCGCAAGTGTCACATTGTCCCAGCTTTAAATTACAATATTCATTCTTGGGTGACCTATCCTTTTAAATCAATCTTAAAAGTTCTGCTCACCGAGTTGCTCGTCAACTTGTGGAACCTGAAGGCATCCAACAGTAGGTTTAACTTATTGCCTTCACTCCTCTGCAAGAACTTGGAGCGGGAGTATGAACTCCTACTGTCTGAAAGACATCTGAAAGCAGTCTACATGATTAGAGAAGCTCAAAATGCTGAATTCAGTCTACTAAAGGGTTTTACATTGGCGATCCATGGATGTTAAATGTTCATGGAACCATGAAAAATTAAGGCGCAAAAAGGTTCTTTAGATTAAAAGGTTTTCCACAAAAAGAAAATGGTTCTTTTAAGAAGAGTTTACCAAAAGGTTCTTTGGGGAACCCTCAATTTTATACATCCCTTTGAATGCACCATTCATTTACACCACAGGACCAATTTCATTCATAACCAAACTGTTACAAGACCAGGGCCCGGTTTAACAGACAGGACTTCGATTAAACCAGGATTAGGCCTTAGTTCAATTAGGACATTTAAGGAACTTTTTTAAACATGCCTTAAACATTACTGGTGTGCATCTTGAGACAAAACAATGGCACTGACTGACATTTTAATAGAAGTTTCTTTCAGTTAAGAGTCTTAAGCCTTGTCTGTGAAACCAGGCACAGGTTATAAAGGAACAGTTTGATTAAATCTAATTGATGTAATAAAAGCAACACTGCAAAGTCTGAATCAACTCACCCGCGATAATCTACAAAGGAATATTTGATGTCATTGGCATCAAAGTTGAATGTTGGTGTAGCCACACACCAGTCAATAAATAGAAGTAGGGGCAAGTGATTGGCCAAGGTAACTGATGCTTGAAGGTGTATCGCATCCCCGAGAAAATAGACGTTTGAGCCCCTCTCATACTGCCAGTCATCTTAAAAACAAGAACAAAAACAATATTAAATGATAATAAATAATTCTGAAACCGAACTTGGTATAATTTAAATACTATACCACTCATCAGTCGGAGAGCAAAGTCCAGATAATCTGTGGATGAAACAGTGGAAGCAAATGGAACCCAAGCAGGCGCCACTGCCGCACTGTCGACATTATACCGCCTTAAAGAGGATTTGAGAAAAATAAATGTTAAGAGCTCAAATCAGTCATTAACTAATCTGAGTTTGGCCAGCTTACCTCTGGAATTGGCACTGAACAGGTATGACTGCACCCTCCTGGCGAAGCACACCATCAGGAGATGGTAGAGGAGAGTACACAAGGACATTTGAATACACCAGAGAGTCATCAGTTACCTGTGAGAAAACAAATTAAACCCATGAGGCAGGTTTCACAGACAGGGCTTAGATTAAGCCAGGATTAGGCCTTAGTTCAATTAGGGCATTTAAGTAGCTTTTATAAATGTGTTTTAGAAAATAACTGGTGTCAACTTGAGACAAAAACAATGGCACTGACTGACATTTTAACCCTCTGGGGTTCTTCGGACCAAATGGACCCGAAGAATTTAAATAAAAAAAAAGTGTAAAATCATAGCTTCATCGGAATGGTCCGAAATTTGGTGACTTTGTTGGTACTTGGTATATGAACACCCAAAAAAATTGGGGACAGGATTTGAATAGTCTAAGTGGTTGTAAAAAAAATGGTCACACTCAGGACCTTCGGGTCCAAATGGACCCGCCATAGGAAATGAATGGGAAATTGACAAAAATGTGAAAATACAGAGTTTTTTTGTGCGTACAATCTACAAATCAGCCACGATCCAGAAAAAAAGCACACAAGTGAAGGGGTGAATCTATAAAACATCAAGAGTGCAAAACAGACACATCCACACACACTTTTATACACAAACACACTAATAAATTCAGATTACATAAATATGTTTTGAATTTTTAAAAATCACAGCTTCATCGGAATGTTACGAAACTAGGTGACTTTTATGGTATTAGGTATGTGAACAAACAAAATATTGAGGTCATGATCAAAGCATGCTAAGTGGTCGTCACACTTCTGCTCTTTGGTCAAAAATGACCCCCATAGGAAATGAATGGGAAATTGTCAGAGTTTTTTTTTTTTGCATACAATCTACAAATCAGCCAGGATGCAGAAAAAAGGACTCAACAGTGAAGGGGTGAATCTCTAAAACATCAAGAGTGCAAAACAGACACACACAGTATTATATATTTATAATAATCTGTATTATGGCACTTCAAATTACCATTTAAACCAAACAAACAAAAAACAAGACAAAAATAGTCTTTGAGAATCTGTTATTATATTTTAAAATCAACAACCTGAAAAAAAAATTGTCAAAGATGTGCAAAACTCACAAGAATTCTGAACCCTTTCTACAGAGAGCTGTAAATCCACTAGTGGTAAAAATGTGCTATTGCGTGATAAAAATGCTCAGTGTGTCCAGCAGATGGCATCCATCTCATTTCAAAAATTGTTTTCATGAGGCCTAGGCTTGACTCTAAAATGAAATACAGCTTTAAAAAAAAAAAAAAATACATATTTATAAAAAAAAAATATTATATTCAATGGGAAAAAAATGGGTCATAATTATTGCATAAATATTAATTATAAATCATAAATTTCTCAAAACACCAAAAAATAAAAGAAAAAAAATTATAAAAAAAACAAGTAAAAAAAAATATGATTTTCTTTTAATAAATATGAATCAAACCCTTCCGGACCATTTGGTCCCGAAGACCCTGAGTGTGACCCTGAAATGAAGGACCCCAGAGGGTTAAGACATGTCACTGCAAGCTGCTGTCAGTTAAAACAGCTCAAACAGGCATTTTAGTCTGAGACTAGACTTAAACCTTGTCTGTGAAACCAGGGGATGATGCGTTTGTAAAACTATTTAGGCCTACTAGTAGCATTATTGGTGTAGCTCAGGTGTGGTTGATCGGATCATACCCAGACAGCAACAGTGTCAGCCCAGATCTGGCCCACATCTGGTACGCGTTGAATCCACATGTACCAGATGTGGCCCGGAATTGGGCAGAATCGATGTTGCTGTGTAGAAGTAGACGAGGCAGACACATTCTTGTTTACACCTGATATTTTACTCCGGTCCACTTTCCACCACTTTGGATTTCTTCGAGGGGAGGGTCTATGGTTGGATAAACGTATGGGCATTCTCTGATCTTTCGAATAAATGGACTAAATAAGCTCACAATTCACATATGAACACTACCGGAGAAAACAAAAACATAAGCATCAGCTTTCATTTCTGCTCCGACACCCACAAGATCTCGCCGAACACTGAGTGCCTGTTAAAAATGAGGATTGGGAGAGAATATTGTGCTTGGTACATTTTTCATCTTCAAACCAAACTTAGGTCTTCAACAAACTCAAAACATACAACCAGAAATAGTTTAAACTTACAGATAGTTTGGTTCCACAATCTCTGAAATTAGCAATTATGGTTAACAATAGTTCTCCAGTTTGCACTGCTCCACATGATGAAGACATTCCGGGGCCCAACCACAGCTCCTCCGCGTAGACAGGAAAGCCCGCGGCAAACAGGTCTGCGTTCATCACGACCTCGATCGCTTCGTCGTGGCAGAACACGGACACCTTTTTCTGACGTTGTTGTGGAACAGGGTCGTTTATTTTAGGCAGACTTTGAGGAATCGCGGCCTGAAACTGACTGTTCGACAGCTGCTGGTTTGCCGAAGACCATCCTCCTTGATGGAATGTACGAGGATACATGCGAGGATAACATTCAGTGCGGAGGGATATCATAAGAAAGACAGTTATCCACCATATTAATGTGTTAGTCAGCCACATCACGCCTGCTAAATTACTATATCACACACAAAACCGGCTTCTCGGACATACAAATGAAAAACCACGTTGGTCGTCGTTGTTAACACGTATTTATGAAAACTGCTTCTTGCTTGAGCAGTTACTGCTTTAGCACTCACCCAAACCACCTACACCTGATTTATATTTATTCAGGCCAATTGGTTCCATGCATATATTTATAAGCAATTATTGTGAGGTGACGCACCTGCGTCGAGGATATCGGGATATGGCGTGGTTTATGAATAGCCTATATTTTAAAACTTCTGATGAAAACTAACATTACATTGAAAATCAAGGATTTAGGTCAAAATGTGAATTTTGTGCGTTTTAGATTTGAACAACTTTTAATCTTCACATGCAGTGTGACACATTAACTTTTAAAAATACAATTATTCAATGTGAACTTCAAATATGTACATTAAAAATAAGTTTTAGGTGGGGTACAGGATGTCACATAGCAAGAAACTGCTTGCAACACACTGACAATAACTATTTTATGAAGTCTATGTAAAATATGAATAAACACAAAGCCTGCCAAAACATGTCATTTTGTGTGGTATAATAGTCTCATAAAATTATTCAAAATGTCAATCTCAGAAAAAAAATGGCACTAAAGCTGTCACTGGGACGGTACCCTTTAAAAAGGTTCTAATATGTACCATTTAGGTATCATTATGTGCCTTTGATGTACTAATATGCACTCTTTAGGTACAAAGATGTGTCTTTTTAAAGTGTACGGCCCTAGTGACTGCGTTTGTACCTTTTTGCCCAGTGTGTATTCACAATCTATTAAACAAATGAGTGAATTTCATGTAATGTTTTGGGTTATCAAGTTAACATATCCTGAACAAATCTTTCACAGTAATCAAAGTATCAAAACAATAGAGACATGTAGAAATCAATGGGTTTATTTGGGGTTATAAAAAGTCTAAGGCAGAGAAGATAGAGAAATAGACTACAATGTTAAAAGGCACAATAAATTACTAAGTTTCCTCTGCTGTGCCACATAAAAAATACAAAAGCCTTCCCTCCACAAAACTGGAGCGTTGTTTATCACTCATTAAGGCAGACTTTTTAGTTTGAGGTCTTCAAACAGAAATCTGAAGGTTGTGAAAGAGTAAAACACAAGTTGAGATATAAAAAAAAAAGAGAAAAGTTTCTTGTTCTACAATGAAAACTTGAGAAAGAAAATGCACCATAACAAACATAAAGCGGCCAGATCGGCAAAATCCTTTCAGTTCTTATTTCGGTGTTTATGGCATGAGGTATTAACTGGCAAGTGGACAGCTTTTGTGCTGTTGCTTTTTCGATTACACATCATGGCAGTGGTTTTCTTATTTTTCCCCCAGCAGAATGGTCACAGGAACAGGAAAAAAAGCCTGAGAAAACATATTTGAATTGTTAGTTTCAATATTGTAATGTTTCAGCTTTTATTCAAATGCAATTCGATAATCATCCTTACCAATAGCAGACGGCCGTCATGGACCCTCACAAGAAGGAGCAAACCTTCTGTGTCCTGAAGGGGTTGGTGCTTGAAGACACACCGGTCAGCAGCGGATCCTGAACGGCGTTTTGAATGCAGAACTGCTGAAGCTCTGCGGCCGCCTGAGAAACCTAAATGGCCAAAATTACACAACAGGTCACAAACGTCTGGAAACTGTAGAAAATATTATACACAATCAGCTGCGATGCTAAATACAAGCTCATACTAACAGACAAAAACATTTGAAAATGGATGTAATAGAGCAGTGTGTATTTCTAGCCTACTTTTCTTGCATATAATTTAAATAGGGGAGAAAATAGAATTATATTTTTAACAACATTTAAAAATAAAATAATAATTAGATCGACCTAATTATATAAATAATAGAATCAGATTAAAATAAATTACTTTTGTAGTTATTAAAACAAAATTTGACTCAAATACATAGAACCGTACTACAGAGAACAGGAAAAAAATATTAGCATTAATTGGACCTTTATACTTTGGAAATCTATAACTTCCTTTTAAATTTTAGGGATGGGGTCCCTCACATCTCTAAATGATCCTTTTTGGGGGTCCATGGGATCTGAAAAATTGAAACCCTCTGGTCTACATAAACAAACTAACGTTACCCATCATAGCTAGCTAGACCTGGCTGTTATAAATCAAATTGTTCAGTATGTTTTCCCCGAGAGCGTGTTTAATATCCGAGGTTTTTAGTAGATATTTGTACTACTTCACTGGGAAATAAAACTATTTTAATAAATAATCTGAGACGCCGATAAAACAAAGCTAACGGGTTCCAGGTCCACGCCCAAACTCAACCCGGCTGCTAACTCACTAGCTTCAGTCTCATCCGTGATTAAACCGCTAACAGAAACCAACCGACCTTTACTCTGTTGATGTTTGCTTCGAAGCGCAACTGCTGAACGACTTTCTTCATCGTAACGATGCTTGATGAGCCCGACATGTTGTCTGATGATATTTCTAAACGATGTGCAACAGCAAAGACAAAAGTTGTAAGTAAGCAGTTTCCGGTTTGGTTCAGTCCGGAAGTGTGCACTAGAGAAACGACTCCGATCGCGTCAATTCGAACCCTACTATGGCGAAGGCTACACTCATTAATATTAATAAGGCCAGGTTTTCAGCATACTGTGATTGGTTCACACCTTAGCTGCTGCACAGCCATTCAGCAAATCAGTTAAGGTTACTTGGCGAACGTAATTAATATTCATAATCTAATTATTCGTATTGGACATCATGGCGCACAACAACATACGCCTCCTGATGGCGATTAGATGCAATACACTAATCATACTTTTTTTTCTCGCTTTTGCTTCTTTATATTTATATTGTATAATAACCTCTTTATATATTTGTCACCCGCCCTTAATGATGCTGTTTTATGACTAGAATGCTGTAAATATTTGAATGCTCCTCAATATTCATGATGTTGTAACGTATGTTGTAAACTGGAATTATTATGGAAACAAGACAGTCCAATAAAATGCTTCCTAGACTAAGGCTTCATAAGATTGGTTTGTCTTATTCACAAAGCACAAATGATTGGTAGATCTTTCAAAACAATTTCCCCACAGCAACCTTTGAAGTAGCCTACTATATATTCCCCCATTTCAAAACATTTCGGATTTCACCTCAGAGATTTCCTTTGTTTCATGATCACGTTATTGCAGTTTTCGCTGAACCTTTGCTTTAAATCTACCCTGTCTTTATCAACCTGCTCACTATGTTTTTCTATCCTACGGTGCTCAATCATCGGACTGGGTGCTTTGCCACGATATGGTAAGTTTTAATTTCTTTTCAGAGAGTTGGGCCTATTGACTGTTTGTATGAGAAGGTGTGCTTAACATATCCATTGCATGTTATAATCTGTCAATTTAAAATGTCTAATCCTAAAACTGAGGCTTAGCTATTAATATCTATCCAAATATATATGTTTATTCAGGTTGGCGGCCACTAAAGGACGAAAGATCAGTCGGAGAGATATGCTCAAAGTCAATGTCCAGCGCACTTGGTTAGTAGCAGCCTATCTTTCAACGAAATGAAATAAATAAATGACTTGTCAATCATTTTCTACATGATCGCATTTAAAGACAACAATACAGTTGTTATCTTTTTTTTTATTGCATAAAATTCATAAGTTAATTGAGTTATTCTCAAACAGCGATGACATCATGGATTACGTGTTGGTCAGAGTCCCGCCCCCGCTGTCAGGATTGCCCCGCCCCCGGTTCTCCCTGTACCTGTCCTCTCAGCTGCAGTATGGAGTGGTGCTGGTCTACCACAGACAGTGTGAATTTTTGTTAGGTGGGCTGGGTCCATTTGTCAAAAATATACACAATATTTGACATATAACAAGAATGTTTTTTGCTGTTTCGACTGCATATTTATCCTTTAAGATGACACAGTGGGCTGATAGGGATCATGATATTTGTAGCATTTAGAGATGTTGTGTGTGCTTTTCTCAGAGGACACTCAGGGGGCAATTGATAGACTCCTCCGCCGTAACCGGAAAGCTAACATTGATTTGATGGATGAAGAAACCAGGTCAGGCACTATTTCATTTCTTAGACACATTTACATTTACACAGTTACATTATGAGCATCCTTTATGTTGTCATGGTGTCAGATGATATCAATAGTGCTAATGCAGACGAATGGAACCATTATGTCTGATGAACGTTGTCTGTGAAATGGCCTTTGGATTCAATACTTCAGATTATTTTATTTATTAGTTTATTTCACAGGGACATTAATAAACATTACTGTAATAGTGTCAGGATTTTAATTTTTCATCTGTAGTCCCTGGACAGAATGTCACAGCATCACTCTGAAAAAACACATAACCTACAAAAAACGTCAAAATTGCAAAAAATATTCAAATGAACATTTATGTTATTTTTACATTACAAAACAGCATTTGCAACTTATTCTAACTATAGTTAGAGGCCATTTTCAAGGTTAAAAGCAAAGAAAAAGTGCAGTTTTACATCCAGCATTTTAGGTGAGAGCAGCAACAGGACAAAGATTGAAAATATGAATGAAAAAGAGATTCAGAGCTTGATGTGTCTAACATTTACAGTTTCCTCCTCCTTCCTTCCTTCCTTTTCAGGCAGAGTCACGTGATCCCTGATGCTGCTGCGCTGTTTGATGAAACCGAGGGGGCGAGGGATCCGTTCTTCGGGGTTATGGAGAGCGGCTACAGCCTGCCGAGTCCAAGCAGCCTCATTCAGGTGCCATGTAACTCACATCTTCAAAGAAACACTAAAGTTCTGCCATACGTGTACCATTCAAAAGGTGGGGGCCAGTAGGATCTTTTTTTAAGGAAATACTTTTATTCAACAAGGATGCATTCAATTGATCATAGTGACAGTAAAGACTCTTATAAAGTTATAAAAAATTGTATAATGGTTTTACAACAATATTAAGCAGCACAACTGTTTTCATTATTGATAATTAGCAGCAAATTCATCATATTAGAATGTTTTCTGAAGGATCATGTGACACTGAAGACTGGAGTAATGATGCTGGAACATTCAGCTTTGCATCACAGAAATAAATTACATTTTAGAGTATATTCAAATACAAATATTCCACATTATTACTGCTTTTACTGTATTTTTAAGCAAATACATGCACGTTTGAGGAGCCTTTCAAAAAAAAAAAATCATACTCGCACCAAACTTTTGAACAGGTTTCGTAAGGTGTTAACAATGAAGTCATGTCTAACCTGTCACACTGTGTCTTAGCGAACGGAAGAGGTGTCAACAGAGCATGTCTCGCCTGCTAGAGAAACAACACCACCTTCAGATGGTGAGCATTTAATACTTCACACTGAAAAGTGATACGTTATCATTTGCGGCACATAATTACATGTATCCATAGTCTTTCGAGTAATGCTATTTACAAATGATAAGCACCAACAATAAAGAAAAATCTAGAAATGTAAGTGTGTTTTTAAAGCTCCTTGTTTCCCCTCTAGGCATCACAGCCAGTCAGGAGTCCATCACTCTGACAGAAAGAGAACCAGTCGTCATGCCTGAGCCAGAGGTACAGCTGTCACTCAGTCACTGTCAGCATCACTGCCTGATCACACTCCAGTTGTGTGTCTCCACGGTGTCGTCTCTCTGTTTCCTCAGTTTGAAGGAGCAGATCTGCTGGAGTCCAACCTGGTGGAACTACTGCTGGAGCAGCCCGAACGTTTCTTTGAGCGTGAGTGCTGCTTTCACTCAAACCCATAATTATCCTGGTGCCAGATGAAGATACAGATTGTACTTGAATCTAACAAAACATTTCCTGGTCATATTTCAAGACATGCCATGAACTTGTCAAAACATGCCCTGGTCATATTTAAAAACATGTCATGTTCATATTTCAGCCCAAAATCAAAAGATATGATATATGATATATATATATATAATAACCTTTAAATTTCGTTTTTAGTTTTTTTGCATTGACATAATTTTTTATGACAATTGAGCACATTACTAAAACGGTAATGCTAAAGATAAAAAGTATTATATATATTTCATAAGAATGTGAAATATTCATACTTCATTGTAGTTTTTTTGTGCGGGCTTTAAACTATGCTAGTTTAAATAAATAAAAATGTAACTTTAAAAAAAAAAAAATATATAAAATATGATGTATTTATACGGTACTTCACTGTAGCTTTTTGTGCTGGCTTTAAACTATGCTAATCTAAATAAAAATTATATAAGTTATTTAAAAAAAATACTATATAAAATGTGTACAATTTAAATTAAAAACATGTTAAAAAAAATTAATTAAAAACTATATAAATTGTCAAGTATTTATACTTCAATGTAGCATATTGTGCTTACTTTAAACTATGCGTATTTAAATATAAAAAATTACAATAAATAACTAAATAAATAAGTAAAAATGCTATATAAAATGTCAAGTATTTATACTTCATTGTATCTTTTTGTGTTGCTTTAAACTATGCTCATTTAAATAAAAAATAAATATATATTTTTTTAATTAATTAAAAATACTATATAAAATGTGAAGTATTTATACTTAATTGTAGCTTTTTGTGCTGGCTTAAACTCTACTAATTTAAATGAAATAATGTAAAATGTTAAATAAATGTAAAAAATAAAAATAAATTAATTTAAAAAAGACCCTTATTGCAGTAATAAGAATCTAATAAGATTCACTAATTAAGAATAATGAGGCAACCCAAAAACAAAACATCCACATCTGTTTTGATAATGAGAATTTGTTGATGTCCGGTTTGGCTGACATCAACACTCTTTATGAGTCAGTGCTCAGTTCATGTGGTTGTATCTCTGCGTTTTCTGTCACGTTGTGTCTTGCAGACATTATAAATCAGTTTTAGGTTTAAACTTGAGAAGGGACTGTTTTTTGCAGGTGAAGATGAGAGGCAGCTGGAGATAGACAGAGAAAGAGAGCAGATAGAGACAGAGACAGAAGAGCCGAGGATGCCTGATGAAAGAGAGCAAGAGAGAGCAGCACTTGAGAGAGAGGCAGCAAAAGATCTGACAACATCAGCCTCTTTAGATCTGTACGTTTAGACATCTACATTTCAGAAACTTGCTCTTATGCTTTTATTTAAAGGAGTAGTTCACTTTTTAAAAAACTTTTGCTGATAATTTACTCACCCCCATGTCATCCAAGATGTCCATGTCTTTCTTTCTTCAGTCGAAAAGAAATGAATGTTTTTGATGAAAACATTCCAGGATTTTTCTCCATATAATGCACTTCAATGGTAGCCAAACGGTTCAAGGTCTAAATGACCGTTTCAGTGCAGCTTCAAAGGGCTTTAAACGATACCAGACGATGAATAAGAGTCTTATGTAGAGAAACGATCGGTCATTTCAAAAATAAATAAAAAAGTTAAAGTTTTATAGGCACAAATGCTCGCCTTGCGAACTCTCCTGTTCGAACTCGTTCATCAAAATGAACAAATCTTTTTTCGAGTCATTGACTCGTTCATAAAAATGAACGAATCTTTTTTCGAGTCATTGACTCGTTCATCAAAATGAACGAATCTTTTTTCGAGTCATTGACTCGAAAAAAGATTTGTTCATTTTGATGAACGAGTTCGAACAGGAGAGTTCGCAAGGCGAGCATTTGTGCCTATAAAACTTTAACTTTTTTATTTATTTTTGAAATGACCGATCGTTTCTCTAGATAAGACCCTTATTCATCGTCTGGTATCGTTTAAAGCCCTTTGAAGCTGCACTGAAACGCTCATTTAGACCTTGAACCGTTTGGTGCCCAGCAAACTCCATTATATGGAGAAAAATCCTGGAATGTTTTCATCAAAAACATTAATTTCTTTTCGACTGAAGAAAGAAAGACATGGACATCTTGGATGACATGGGGGTCAGTAAATTATCAGCAAAAGTTTTTTTAAAAGTGAACTAATCCTTTAAGTACGCTTTCAGTAAACAAAAGATACTAAAAATGGAAAACTTCCCATTTTTGAAAAGAAAGCTTTTAGGGTTGATGGCTTTAAAGTCCCCATGAAATCGAAATCTTGAATCCAGAATCTCTAGTTTTCACCTTGGTTTGTCCATAGTTAGGGCTGCACTATTAACCCTATTTTAATTGTGGTCATGATTTCTGCTTCTCTCGATTAACTAAGCATAGTCGCTATAGTCGTAATCGTTAAATATATCCTCTTTGATTTGATATTTCAATTTTACTGCAAACAGCTGCAATCTTGCACTGGTATAGCAAGCCTCCACGGGCTTTCAAGCTTGGGCTTCCCAGATGTCAAGTGACTCATTTCCACAGTCAGAAATTTTCTTCTAAATGGACACATTTTCCACCCAGACTTTGATGATTTGAAACACCAACAAACATGTTGAGCGACCTCCACTGCGAAATTCTGCTCAAATGAAGGTTCAAAATAACCAGTCTGTGTTTCTTCACAAAAGGCCGCTTGTGCTATTTTCTGTGAATAAATCTGCCATCAAACCTTCTCAGTAGCTGTTTCCACCTATTTTTATGCAGGTTTTGGGATATTGCATAAAAAAGCTGGATGGAAACGCCAAGATGCGCATAAATAATGTATGCTCTCAATTGAGGCGGCTAATTTATTTATCCGATCAGAAGACATGCGCAGAAACTACAATGGAAACACATTTACTGAATAAATAAATCTGTCAATGCGCAACGAATTGCGTTCCCAAACACCAGCATCCGGACGCAAGATAACATGACAGCGTTTATTGCGCTTCATCTTCGTGCTCTGAGACGCAAGTCATTTATGATGGAGGAAAAACAGCCAGAGTGGCTTCCCCGATTATAGCAAATTCCATTTTTATTACAGATGTTTTGATTATTTCACTGTTTTAGCTTTTGAGTGTTACCAACTTTCATAAGAGAGTGCGTTAATGCAGCCTATATGATCAAAATAATAGATCAAGAAGCTACACTGTAAAAAAATAAGATAATTAATGTGGTTCAGATTACACCATATTTTGAGTTTCTATTGATGAACTTACTTTTTAAGTTAAAGCAACAATATTTTTTACATTGTGGATGAGGTCAAATAAACCCCACGTTTGAGTTGACGTTCTCTTGATTTGTGTTCATGTGGAAGTGCAATAATTCTGATGAAATATAAAAAGAAATTTCTCAAATGACAACAAGTGTGATTAATAATTGCGATCTTCTAACCAAAATAATCGTGATTATCAGTTTAACCGTTATCATGCAGCCCTATCCATTTACAAGCTGTCAAGTGTAGTTTTATCTGGCAATGACATAAATTTAAAGCTATTAGAAAGTTAAGTGCAAGCTCTTTAATATGTCCAGCCCCTATTTCATGTTTTAAAATGAAATGCATTAAATGTATAAGCAAAAAACTGTTTTCAATCCAAAGGAAAGCCTGAAAAAGGGCTAAAAAGCTCTTTTGAACCAGCCGCAAAAATAACCCTGTCCACGCCTTTTCAGCGCTGATTTTTCACTCGAGTCTTTAGTAAATCCTGACAGTAGTTTTTTAATGCCAAAAGAGCATTTTTACCCAAGCTGTTAGTAAATCTGGCCCATAATGTTATACCGGTTTAAAAACACCAAAGTTATGCTCTAAGATTATGATTTCCCAGGGCACAAATCACTGGCGCATCAAGCCAGGAAGTTGTCCTTCTGCCTGAGGAGGATTTGGGGCTTCCCATGGAGATGCCTGTGTTAGAGGAAAGAGAAAGGACGCCAGTATCTGAGTCTGTACCCATACCGTCGCCACCGCACGGCGAAGAGGAGGAAATGACCACTGAAGCCGAGAGAGAGAGGGCGGTGAGCGAGAGGAGCCCTCTTCTTCAGGTGTGTTAGGATGTGAGGTCTGTCTTGATGCTACATTAAAGCGTTTGACACATTTGTCATCAAGCCATCTGTCCCTCTGTCAGCCTGCTGTGGTGAGGCCTGAATCTCCTAAAGGGCAGAGGAAGAGGAGGAGACAGCTGCTCTTCATCGATGAACATACACAGATATCTCAAGAGGAAATGAAGGCCCGGATTGATAATGCGGAGACAGAGACCAGGCCTTTGGTACGTCCAGAACAGTCTGTATTCTTCAAGTCAGCATTATTTTCGTGAATAAAATGGTGGTTGTCAGTTGTGTGTTTTTTTTCTCCTAGGCGACACTCATCAAACCACGCTTTGAAAAAAAGGGTGCTAAAGAACTGCTCGGGAACCCTTGCATGAGTAAGTCGTTGAATATCCGACTTAATACAGTCACATTTCACCCTAAAATCATAATGTTGTTTTTGAAAGAAACTAATACTTTTATTCAGCTAGGATGCATTAAATAACCATAAAGGTCATATTATGACATTATAAATGTCTTTACTGTCACTTTTGTTCAATTTCATGACAGCTTCCATGATATTCACTAAATCATCCTAAGCTTTATCCCTTTATACAGTCCAGAGCTAAAGCTAAAGCTAAAGCGCATATAACTGCCAGCAGCCATATCACCCTGTAGCCCAAGACTGGTTGCCCACTGAAGCTAAGCAGGGCTGAGCCTGGTTAGTACCTGGATGGGAGACCTTCTGAGAAAACCAGGTTGCTGCTGGAAGAGGTGTTAGTGAGGCCAGCAGGGGGCGCTCACCCTGTGGTCTGTGTGGGTCCTAACGCCCCAGTATAGTGACGGGGACACTATGCTGTCAAAGAGCACCGTCCTTCGGATGAGACCTTAAACCGAGGTCCTGACTCTCTGTGGTCACAAAAAATCCCAGGATGTCTTTCGAAAGAGTAGGGGTGTAACCCCGGCATCCATCTGTCCATCATGGCCTCCTAATCATCCCCATATATATATATACCAATTGGCTTCATCACTCTGTCTCCTCTCCACCAGTAAGCTGGTGTGTGGTGGGTGTTCTGACGCAATATGGCTGCCGTCGCATCATCCAGGTGGATGCTGCACACTGGTGGTGGTTGAGGAGATTCCCCCTTCTGTGTATAGCGCTTTGAGTGCCGAGAAAAGCGCTATATATATATAAATGTAGTGAATTATTATTATAATGCTTTCTACATAGGCCTTCCACCTGAAATCCTGGCGCTATGGAAACAGGCCGCGGTCGTGAGGCCCATCCCTCCATCCAGGCCGCGCTGGGACGTTCCCGCAGCTGAGGAGATACCAGAGGGAGAGGAGGAAAGACCAGAACCAGCAGAGAGAGAAGAGGAGAGACCAGAACCAGCAGAGAGAGAAGAGGAGAGACCAGAACCAGCAGAGAGAGAGGAGGAAAGACCAGAACCAGCAGAGAGAGAGGAGGAGAGCGAGCTCAGCTCAAGAGAGGTCTACTTCCACTAAAACTAACTATTACATTTAAAGATGTAACTCATCCCACACCATTTGTGTTAATACCTTAAAGGGTTAGTTCACCCAAAAATGAAAATTCTGTCAGTAATTACTCACCCTCTCATGTTGTTTCGTTCATCTTCGAAACACAAATTAAAGGGATACTCCACTTTTTTTGGAAATAGGCTCATTTTACAACTCCCCCAGAGCTAAACTGTTGAGTTTTACCGTTTTTGAATCCATTCAGCCGATCTCCGGTTCTGGCGGTACCACTTTTAGCATAGCTTAGCATACATCATTGAAGTGGACAAGACCGTTAGCATTTCTCCAAAAAAAAATGACCAAAGTGTTTCGATATTTTTCCTATTTAAAACTTGACTCTTCTGTAGTTACATCGTGCACTAAGACCGACGGAAAATGTAAAGTTGCGATTTTCTAGGCTGATATGGCTAGGAACTATACTCTCATTCCTGCGTAATAATCAAGAAACTTCACTGCCGTACCATGAGTGCAGCAGGCGCAGGCACGTAGTCACGTTGGAAGTTACCGAGCTGGGGACTATTTGCAGGCGCTGCGTCATATCATTACGCCTGCTGCTCTCATGGTACGGCAGTAAAGTTTCTTGATTATTACGCAGGAATGAGAGTATAGTTCTTGTATAGTAGTATAGTCTAGTTTTTGAGTCATGTTTTATTTTTAAATGATTTATTCATTTTAATATTGAATTTTTATGATTTACTATTTATTCGCGTTCCATCAACTCACAAACCCCCTGCAGTTCCCTCACAAATCACCAGGGAATTGTGAAACCCCAGTTTGGGAAACCCTGTCTTTTTGCGATTTTGCCCACGATTTGGCCATCTGAGACAAATTTAGCAAAAAGATTTGTCTAATTTTAGCCTAAATCTGAAGTTTTTGATCATTAGTCTGGCCCCTAGTCTATTAGTTTATGTTAAAACTGTGTGATCCAAATGGATGGATATTTTATATGCATTTCAAATGCGTAAAACTTAAATTAAGTGTATAACAAATGGTTCTGTTTTAGTGACTGATCTTTTTTCCGGCATCCTTACTCCTGTAGATTCCCAGAGAAATGGTGGAGTCTGGCCTCCTCCAGCAAGAAACACCAGGTAAAATATCAGTACATTACATTAGAACAGATCAGGCAGAACATTAAAAGCACCTGCCTAATATCACGTACAGCTGGCGCGTGTTTTAAAGGGAGAGAAAGAAAGAGAATAACAAGTTTAGCTGGGTTCACTTTTCGTTGTATTTGCAGCCTCTTTGGTCATTTTGGAGACACCAGACAAGGATTCTTCTCCACTCGAGACACCTGAGATGATACGGTGAGAGGAGAGATGGTAAAAGAGAGACAGAAAGTGTGAGACGGAAGCAGCTGTCGCTCTCATTAGAGACCAGTTTGACACGTTTGAGTTTCACACTCAGTCGCTGCATAATTGCCTCTGAATAATTACTTCTGCTTTCATGGGTTTAGATCCCCGGTTCCAGAAATTCAGTTCGGTCTAGAGGACATCCCAGAGGAGAGGGTCCCAGTGATGGAAGATATTGCAATGGATACTGAGGAACAGTTAAGGTAAAGCTTGAAACTATCTGCTTCTTTTTGATGTCAATGTAAAAAAAAAAAAAATTGTCACACTATTGTGTTAATCAAGTGTATCCAGTGTATCAAGTGTATCCAGTATATTCATTTTTGTTATTTATTTACAAGTTATTTATAGTATTATTGAGTAGTCATATCACATTTATTTATATAGTTATTTAAAACAGCTTCACAGTAATACACTGGAAAATAACAGTGTCAAACTCAAGCAGCTCGACAGCTCAAATCAGTTCAATGTTGATTCAGTTCAGTTCAATAACAGTGTAGATGTTGTAGAATTTGTCAATTATAAAATTATTTCGATTATGCTATAAAGCTCATTATCATTATCCAGCAAGTTTTGTCCAGTAGTGTCAGTGCTAGTGTCAGATTATTACTTGTGACGTCAAATCAATATTATTAGGTTACTATTATTGTAATATTATTACTGAATAGGTCTTTTAACCCTCTGGGGTTGTTCGGCCCAAATGGACCCGAAGCATTTAAATAAATTTTTTTTTAAATCATAGCTTTATCGGAATGGTCCGAAATTTGGTGACTTTGTTGGTACTTGGTATATGAACACCCAAAAAAATTGGGGACAGGATTTGAAAAGTCTAAGTGGTTGTAAAAAAAATAGTCACACTCAGGACCTTCGGGTCCAAATGGACCCACATAGGAAATGAATGGGAAATTGGCAAAAATGTGAAAATACAGAGTTTTTTTGTGCGTACAATCTACAAATCAGCCACGATCCAGAAAAAAAGCACACAACAGTGAAGGGGTGAATCTATAAAACATCAAGAGTGCAAAACAGACACATCCACACACACACACACACACACACACACACACACACACACACACACACACACACACACACACACAAACACACTTTTATACACATACACACTAATAAATTCAGATTACATATGGGTTTTGAATTTTTAAAATGCTCAGTTTGTCCACCAGATGGCATCCATCTCATTTCAAAAATTGCTTTCATGAGGCCTAGGCTTGACTCTAAAATGAAATACAGCTTTAAAAAAAAAAAAAAAAAAATCTATTATATTCAATGGTGAAAAAATGGGTCATAATTATTGCATTAATATTAATTATAAATCATTTTTATTTTTGAAATTATCTCAAAACACCAAAAAAGAAAAGAAAAAATATTATAAAAAACAAGTAAAAAAAAAAAAAGTATGATTTTTTAAAAAAAAATGAATCCTGCCCTTTGGGTCCATTTGGACCCGAACACCCCAAGTGTGACTGTTAAACGAACAACCCCAGAGGGTTAAAGCTTTACAGATTAATATATTATTTTATGATTATTTCATTTTTTTGGCTTTGACCATTTCAGTGGATTGTTACTCTGAACACATTTCTAATGTATTTCTTTCTTCTGTTGAAGGCCGCAGGATGTCATGGAAGATTTAGTGACCTTTCGCTCTCTGCTGCCCGTTCAGGCCAGCCGTAGAATTGTTGCCCGAATCTTTTGGAGATTGCTAGGTAAGATTGTGGCAGAGGATTGACGCCTTGTTTATACTTTCGCCTCGCTAAAACGGATGAGGCGTTTATACTTGACGTGCTCGCCGTTGTACTATTCTTCGAAACGGCAGGGTCTGAGTAATTGTCCTCTAAACCATCAGGAAGCAGCGGTGAGAGGAATTACACATGTGATGATGTTTGTTTTTATTACACTTCACCAATCCCACGCTGGAAAAGAACCAAATAATCGTGTTAAGCCCGATAAACCTTGAGATTATTACTTGTGACATTACAACAAAATATATGGATATGAGAACATATGTATAAAACTAAATTAAACAACAATCAATAAATGATTTCTTTAGTCATTTTCATCTAATTTCATGAACATTTTTAATAAACATGGACCTTTATTTCCTTTAAAAGGCTTATTTCTGCCGGGACAGACGTACCTGCTCAGCCAGAAGCGGAGACGCGTGCAAAAGTTACAAAAAATGTTGAAATGGGGTCTCATGAAAAAATGAACATAATGAAATTATGAAACCAAGGGTTTGCCTCAAAAATTGGGATCAATTTTCCCTGTGGGATGGTCGACTTGTGGGCCAATTAATGAAACCAATTTTATTTTCAACATACAAAGATTTAAATGGAGAAAATCACCAGCTAGAGGCCAATAATGGTGTGAGAAGGAACACCGCGATTAACAAAATAAATGTAATCAAATGCTCCCCTTAATTTATTGAAAAGTTCAGTCGCCTGGTAATTTATGCAGTCTTGTTGTTTCGTCTTGTGTTTACAGAGCAAACGGTTGCAAGAGAGGTCACAGTGCGACAGGACGAGCCGTATGGTGACATCATCATTTCACAGCCATAGATCGATCGTAAACCGACGATGACTTGCCATTATTCTCAGACAAAACTGGTATGACTTATTAAATCAGTGTTCATGTTTATGAATTTTTAAACAACTGAAAGTCCTTTAGTTGTATTAACATGTTATTGATGGTTTAACCGATTTCTGTCATTGTTTATTTAACGTTGTGATATTTTGTAAACAAGTTTTGTCTTTTGAAGAATGAAATGAACTCTTCAATGTTTTCTATATTATTCTGATGATACCATGTTTGTTACAATACTCCTGTTTTTATCATAATATTAAATGTTGTTCTCTGTGTTATAGCATGAGGCATCACAAAATATAGTTTTCTTCTTTTATTACAAACTCTTATCTTTACAGGTTCAACAACACAACTATGCAATATATATTTATCAGGTTGTTTTGGCACAAAGTACATTATTAGGCACTAGGTTTACCACAGATACCAGCATAGACAGAAGTGAATATGCTAAAAATACATTTCAAGTTATTTCACATACCTTCATAAGTGATTGGGACAATCAACCTTTGTCATAAATATCAAAATCACAATTCAACTGAACCCCAAAATTGTACTCATTGTAGAACACTGTCACATAAAAAGCAAAATGTTCCTCACTACAATGTCTTAGCTCTAAATATCAGTGCAAAAATCCAGAGACATGTATGCTATACCCAAAAAACATTTCTTGGAAAATAAGCCCCTGAAAAGAAAAACATGCAGCGCTATTTGCTCGTGTAGATTCAAGAAATGTAGACCTTTCATAATAAACCGTTCTATAAAAGTTACTGTTAGAGTGAAGCAGATTAACCAAAATAATAGTGTTATAATATAGAGTACAATTATAGTGTCGAATAAAGGAAAAACATTATCTTCGGCAAATGCTCTAATTTACTTTCAAATACTATGTTTCTCCTACATGGTAAAAATGTGCAGTGAATCTTATTCCCTTCTCTTAACTAAACTGTTTTTTTAAGGAACTGTGCAGTTTTTAGCAGCGAATAAGACTGAATATCTTGTTTTATTCTATTTTATGAAACCCTTTTTTTCTATTATTACGCAACCACTTTTTAGCATCAAGGCCTCCTGAGAATCATTAAAACCCATAATCAGAGATCAGTTGAGAAAGCTGTCTTTCAGGGGAATTGCAACAATAACAACACTGGCTGCCTGAGGAATCAAATAATGAAATAGTGGAATTCAATCTTGCTAATAGGTGTATCTTGACAAAGGCGTGTCTTCTAGGAGATCATCCTGCAAAAAAAGCAATTACATTTTTTACTTTAGATGCCTGTGGATTTGCAAAACATGCCACATCCAAATGAATACGGTAAAACTGACGCCATCGTTATTGTTCGTATCACTGTGCATAAAGTGCTGAGGAAGCCGCCGGAGCTGGAATTCACTGTGAGCAGTCGCCCAATCACAACAGACTGTACCATCTGTCCAATCAGAGCAGAGTAGGCTCTCAGAAAGGAGGAGTTGAGAGAAACCGAATCATTTATCGTTTAGACACTGAGAAAAGAGGTGATGCTGCAATGTATATAATGAGACAATTAAAGTGCATCTGAAACTATTGTAGGAGACAAAACTAAATTAGGAGCCTTTAAAATAGCATAATAGTGGCACTTTAAAGGAATAGTTCACCCAAAAATGAAAATTCGGTCATCGTACACTCACCCTCATGTCGTTCCAAACTTGTAAGACTTTCGTTCATCTTTGGAACACAAATGAAGTCTTGATTGACACCCGTAACTGAGTCTTACGGTTTGGGACGATATGAAGGTGAGTAATTTATGAAGGTAAAAGAGTAGCAAAACTCGAGAGCACGTAGATGTGAATTCGAGAACATGTACAATAAATATTCGTACTTGTACGCTAATATTTACACTCACAGCTCCAATGTGAAATCCTGTCAAATTAAAATCTGAAGTTGAATGTTGAGTTTGCACTCCCAGACAACAGTCACAAACCTGTATTCTGAATTTGAAGCTGCAGACATGTAGTCACAAATGTGTAAAATGCCATTCACAGAAATATAATGGTTGAACTATCCCTTTAAAGGGGTCATATAATGGTACATGCACTTTTACAAGTTGATTATACTGAAATATGTGTTGGCAGTGCCTGTACACAACCATCATAAAATGATAAAAATCCATCCAGTGTTTTTGTTTTAATCTCCTTATATGTTTTCCCCTGCCTCAAATTGAGCCGTTCGATTTTGTGACGTCACACGCTCGGACGCCCCTCCCACGATTGTTGATTGACAGCATCGTTTCAACACAGACCCGCCCTCGCCCGTGAGCCAGCTGTCAATCATAGTCTGCGCGGACCGGCGCGGTCATTGTTGATATGCTGGAGCACTGTCTATGAGCAGAATGGCGTCTAAGCGATTGTGTTGTTCTGTTCTTGGGTGTAATAACGAACACAGCAGTCATTTTAATGTTCCTTAATCCGAACCGCTGAAGACACAGTGGCTGAGTTTGTTTTCGAAGGGAATATTCCCCATGAGCAACGTCAATGCTTTCATGTTTGCGCGAATCATTTCTCACCAGACTGCTTTATAAACGAGGGTCAGTATAAAGCTGGTTTTGCTAAGAAGCTGCTCCTGAATAAAGGATCAGTACCAGCTATTCGTGTTCCTGCTGAACCTCTAGAACAACTGAAGTGAGTGTAACGTTTTATTAAACTTTATATTAATATTTATATTAATCTTTGCAAATCGCTAGCTGCACGCTTCACAATGAATGCGTCTAAGGTTTACACTTACGGCATGTTTTCTATGTATAATGTTCTCAATATAATTCATAATCCCACGTTTATACTGAACAACGCGTTATGGTTATTGTGTTACAAACGGTGTACACACAGAACAGAGAGGCGGGGTGAGCAAAGCTCATTATCATTTAAAGTCATATGCACTGAAACGGCGTGCTGAAAACAGAGCTGTTTTTGACCAAGTAAAATAAGTGTTTTCTTACAATACTAATGAGAATTTTTAATTAAAGTATAATACAAACTTTTAATTTAGACCCTAAAGAATCATACTAGCTTGTACAAAAATGGCATTATATGACCCCTTTAAGTATTACGACTTGCTGCCCAAATGCTGTGCGCAGAAATATGTAAATATCCAAGATAAGTGATATTGGCGTGAGACTCACCATAGGGAGGTCTTGAAGCCGATGGAATTCTGGATGCTCGTTCCGCTGGCGGAACCTGAGGAAGAGGACGGCCGAGACCATGGCAGTGCAAATGATGAAAATGGTGACCAGAGCCGCAAGCAGGGGGTCCAGGGGTGATGTAGGCCGGTGGGGAGCCTTGCCTGATTCTGGAAGATTGATGAATTGAGTGGAAACTGATTATCACTATCACAGGAACTAATAAAACCGAAGGAACATAATGGAGCTCTGCACAGACCACCGAAGTAAATGTAGATGGAAAAATAATTCAATTATCATCTGTCATTGTGCTTATTAGACCTCTACTGCAAGACCAAAGACACCACTCAAACCTATCAAACGTTTTCTCTCTCTCTCATACTAGTAGTAGAGTATCTTTCTGGCCTTAGTCAAAGTCCTTTTAGGCAAGTCATGCCACTCGGCCGCCATCTTGGCAACGCCTCCGGGCAGCTATTTCGGACTAACAAGACCAGGCTCCTATCTAAATGAATGGGCAGAGAGTCAGAACTGCACTTTCACTGGTCACCGGGACATAAAAACTGCTTGTATAGAAACAGCAGTAAAATATGATAAAAATCGCTGAAAAAGTTTGATGACTTTGCCCTAAAATAAGGTTTAAAAGGTCTTTTTCCCCACAGGTTATACGTTTACTACGCATGCGCAAGGGTTCTCGTCTCCGCTGTCGCAAACCTCAACTGTGCGCATGTGTCAGTGGAACTAGACGATAGGCTTACATGTTTCCCGGCTTGACTGTTAAAAGCAGACGACTGGCTTTCCAGCGGGAGGGGCGGGGCATGTGCATACAACCGCCATCTTTGGCGTTACGGGTTTTCCCTATAGTTGTATTGAGGATTGAGGAAGTGGCATGTCTCTATATAAATTGTCTCTGCCTTAGTCAAACAGAACATGAAGTTCAGTTCACCCAAAAATAAAAAAAGCTTGAAATACATTTAAAAAAAAGGCAGAGCTGCAATTGACCATATTTGAGTGATAAAGCCTAAATTAAATCTGTTCATAACATAAAACGATCATGTCTCTTCAGAAGACTTGCATTAAACCACTTGATTCATATGGATAACTTCTACAATATCTTATGGTCTGAAGTCTTATGGGTTCGAAATTACATGAGGTAGATTAAATGATGACATAATTTTAATTTTCGCGTGATCTATCTTTAAACTACATGGCAGGGAAATATTTGCTATCCACACACCTTGATCACCCACGTCCAGTTCAGAGGGCTCGTCCTGGTCTTCTGAAGGAGCGGGTCCAGTGACCCCTGAACTGCTGGTCAGGGCAAACCGAGATGTCTGAGGGTTACTGGGGGTGAATAGTGGAGCTGTTTGTGTTGTCTGGGACGCACTGCTGGTCGAGGTGGAGAAGGTCTGATGTCCTTCACTTGGACTGATGGATGTTGCAGGAGCTGTGGCTGCTGAATCTGAAACGGTGCTCTTCACATAAGAAAGAGATGAGCTGCCGCCAACAGAAAAACCTGCAGGAGAAACATTGGCACAGAAACACAAGCTTTGAACATGGAAGGAAAAAGCAGTGAAGGTAAGATTTGAGAAAGTATGATTTAAGGATGAAGTTTTTTAAGAAGTTGTGAAAAGCATGATGGAGTATCTAGACACTATGTGGGTGTGAGTGGTGCTAATCTATGCAAAACAGGAGTGTGTTTCATGAAAAGTTCATTAAGATGAATAACAAAGATGAATCTAATTACCACTATATATAGGAGGATATACAGATTTATTTTAGATTTTCCACGAATTCAAATACTTTTCGTCTGATTTTTATCTTTTAAATGTTTTGCTATAATCACAGACAGATGATAGATAGGTAGACAGATAGATAGATAAAAGACAGACAGATAGATAGATGATAGACAGAGAGATAGATAGACAGACAGACAGACAGACAGATAGATAGATAGATAGATAGATAGATAGATAGATAGATAGATAGATAGATAGATAGATAGATAGATAGATAGATAGATAGATAGATAGATAGATAGATATAGATATAGATAAACAAGACAGACAGGCAGATAGATAGATAGATAGATAGATAGATAGATAGATAGATAGATAGATAGATAGATAGATAGATAGATAGATAGATAGATAGATAGATAGATAAACAGACAGACAGATAGATAGATAGACGGACGGACGGACGGACAGATAGATAGATAGATAGATAGATAGATAGATAGATAGATAGATAGATAGATAGATAGATAGATAGATAGATAGATAGATAGATAGATGGATGGATGGATGGATGGATGGACGGACGGACGGACAGATAGATAGATAGATAGATAGATAGATTGAAGCAACAACCTTTGGGCTAGTTTTGGCCATGATTGGGCAGGTTTTAAATAGCAATTGGGCTGGTTTTGGTTCGCAACCCTGGTCACGGGTCCCTCCTTCAGTGTAGGTCTATGGTATATTTTTTTTAACCCGTTTTATTTTCTGCCAGGCAAGTTTCGAAGAACTTCTGTTTTGAAGTTGTTTTCAACAGTCATACTTAAGGTCTGGCATAGGTGCAGTAAACCAATAAGTAAATATTCAACTGCCCTAAATATAGCTGTGTTTCCAGTGAAATGACAGTATGAGAGAGGGATATTATTTACAAGCACAGTCGTGTTCCAAAATGTTACGCCCACGTCCAGCCATTATTTACAGATAGACGTCTGATCAAGTGGGTGGAATGTGACAGTTTCCCAGAGAGTCTCATGAGTTCAGTCTTGATTCTGTCACATTAAGCCCAGTGTTGTATCTCTAAAGTGGAACACAGTGATGCACACACACATGAATCATTGTATTCATACAACGATATGCGAGTAATGCCACTAGATATGTAACCGTCATCTCAGCTCGTGTTCGACCAATATGGGTTTTTCGATGTCAGATGCAAATGGAAACATCTAGAGAGCAGCGTGGAAGATGACTGTGATAAAGCCAATATATAATGATGGAAAATTATTGAAATTTCTGGGGGAAAAAAGAAAAAAAGCAAAATATTCTTAAAAAATGTATAGCAGTTTTATGGTTTAGTAATGAATATGTCAGAATCTAACCCACATTTCCAACATGAGCACTAACCAAAAAGCCACGGCTCTTCCTAAAGCAAAGTAAAACGTTTAAACGTTTGCAGTACTTTTTAGAAAAAAATATGGTAACACTTTATTTGACTGTTTCCTTGTTATAAGTACATGTAACATATGTAACAATACATTATGCATAATTACATGCAATTAACCCTCAACCAAAACATAACCCTACCCTAACCCTATAGTTAGTACATGTTGTTAATTATTATTACTCAGTCCTTAAATATATAATTACACTGTAACAATGACACCTTAAAATAAAGTGTAACCAAAACTATTATTTAAGTCTTCACATTTAATTCAAAGCGCTACTTGCCGTATTTTGTCATTATTTGTGTAATTCACTCGCAATTTCTGAGTGAATTTTTCTTTTCAGTGCAGAGCTTTACAATTCGATGATGGTTTGAAGTCCGTCTCAATATAAAATTTGAAACCTCTTTCAACTCTTCATAACTGTTCATTTTGCAGCCTTATCTGCCCCTTGTCCATGTTGTTGTTCTCAACCCAACGAATGGCAAATTTGTTTTCAAAGCCAAGTTAGACTGATTAATGACAGATAGCATGTGCAATTAGATTAGGTTTAATTAGATTCGTCTTGCCTGGCACTGAGGCTGCGTCCGTGTTGAGGGTGGTGGTGGTGGTGACATCTTGTAGCGCAGGGGTCTGTGACGGAGAGCTGTCATTGGATGGTTGTGATGGAGGAGCAGCAGTAGGTGTGACCTCACCACTTGACAAATCAGTCGGAGGAGGAGAGGCTGTACTGGGTCCTGATTCCAAAATATCACTTTTTGAAGTCACGTGATCTTCAGGAAGGACTTCATTCAGAAGGGATGGGGATGAATCTGTTGTCTGACCTTGGGGAGAAGTAGAAAGTATATGAATGAGCAAATGTTTAGAATGTATTCATTACAAATGTCTACATTACAGTCTACAACTGTACTTGTAGATCTAAAAAAAAGAAAAAAAAGAAGAAGAGAAATATGCCATGTTTATTTGCTACAGGAAGAACGCTGTGTGTTCTCATGCTGAATCGGTTTACGTGGGCGTTCCAGACCGGATCTGTACAGCCGAGTTTAATGGTCGCACAGTGAATCCACAGAACAAAGCGGTTGTGACCTTTATGTGTCAAGAAGGAGCAGAGGAACAAACAAAACAGATCAAATGTGCACGTGCACGGGTTTTTGAAGATTTAGAAGATCACCCTATCACTATTCTCTGCTACATCATAAAACACTTAGTGGCCAGTTCAACTATAGTTTAGATGCATAAACAAAAACAAAAAAAACAATAAAACAAACAAACATTTTATGCAGACATTAGACAGGCCAAATTCGAACCCATGTCTCCCACGTCAGCCTACGTGTTCCAAAAGTGATTGAAATTAACACCATAAACCGAGATCTCGCTTCAAGAATATAATTAGCACTTAAGGGGGGGAGATACAAATATGCAAATTGGAGACCAAATACATTTCAGTTACAAAAGTATTTCAAAATAGCATAGATGAACTGTTTGTAGAACTGTTGTTTTTTCTGTTGCCAAATATATTGTTACTAATTTTATCTTTTCAGTTTGCAGTATTGTAACATGCAAATTGCCAATGACATTTTCAAAAGAGTGATGATAGATAGATATCTATAGATCTCTCTCTTTCCCTTTCTCTCTCTCTCTCTCTCTCTCTCTCTCTCTCTCTCTCTCTCTCTCTCTCTCTCTCTCTCTCTCTCTCTCTCTGTGTGTGTGTGTGTGTAATCCATGGATGGTAAAGGTTCTTTATGGAACCTTCAATGTCAATAATGAACCTTTACTTGTAATTTAAACCAATTTTTTTTTCCACTAAAGAACTTTTTGTGTAATGGAAAGGTTCCATGTATTCTTAAAAATAAAGGTTCCAAAGTGATGCAGTAATGCCATAGAATAACTATTTGTTTCCCCCAAAGAACCTCTCAGTGATCAGTTCTTAAAAGAACAGGTTTTTTTTTTTAGCGTGAAAAACATTTTAATAATACAACATTTTCCACTATAAAGAATCCTTAGTGGTTCAATTAAAGGTTCTTCATGGAACCATCAATGCCAATAAAGAACCTTTACTTAGATAGATAGATAAATTTAGTCCCATAATATGTTTCGTGTATATTATTTACATTATAAATAATGTAATTAAAAATTAGGAAATAAATTAGTAATGATGAACCGAAAAACCATGCGAGCAAGACAAAGCCAGCAGAGATTGTAACATTACAGAATCATGTTGCTGGTTTCGTACTAGAAATCAAGTAAACCATAAGCCATGTGCTTACCTTTTATGACAGATAAATGAAGAACCGTCGCAGTCCATATAATAAAGGCGTTTTGAGTCCTCATGTTAAGATAAAGCGACTCAAAGCGAGCGCGCGCAGACACCGTGTAGATTCGCTCTGTGATTCCCGGGATGATCTTTCCGTTAGATGACAGCGGACATCGTCAGTGCTAAAAATATCTCGAGGGGTCTGGGCTTCAAGAGCGGGGTGTGGTTAACCGCAACCTATGGTCTAAACGACAGCTTATTTATAAAGATAGCGAAAGGACCACTGGACCGTTTGAATCGCATCGAATCGGATGTGAAGGGACCGAGTGAACTGGCTCGAGACAGTCAAGTGAATGACGTGTAGCGTCAGTCCTGTCAGCTGTTATTTGCTGCGACCCACGTGTGTGTGTGTGTGTGTGTGTGTGTGTGTGTGGTGGACCATCCCGTCAGAGGTGCCCATTACACACACATGACCTGACGAGACTCCACAAACACCCCCTCAAAAAGTACCACTGAATACTGGCTGTCACAGAGCACAAGAATAGGATTTAATAAGGAACTTAATTGGGAATGGAGTCAGTGAATGCAGAGGAGTTCACAGTGGAGGCGGTGGAGAGGGTGAGTATGTGACATATACAGGAGCTGTATGGCCAAACTGACTCACAGAAACACAACATGTCACTCAACCATTTGTGTATGAGCTGACAAACGGTGACTAATAACTTTTTCCTTTTACATCACGTAATTGTTATATAAAGGTAAAAGGGAAATTGTATATTTTAGATGGTCTACCATGTCTTTCACTATTGCAGCTCACTTAAAGGGATAGTTCACCCAAAAAGGAATATGTATGTCATTACTTAGGCTACTCCACCTAAATTTTTTACAAACCTGTATGAGCTTCTTTCTTCTGTTAAACATAAAATAAGATATTTTAAAGGTAACCAACCTGTTGACGGCACCCATTGACTTCCATAGTAGGAAAAAAAAAATACAATGGAAGTCAATGGGTGCCGTCAACTGTTTGGTTACCAACATTCTTTAAAATCAATTCTTTTGTGTTCAACAGAAGAAGGAAACTCAAAGGTTTGGAAAAACTTGAGGGTGAGCAAGTGATGACAAAATTTTGGGTAAACTCTCCCTTTAAAGATTATAGCCACTCTGTATGGCAAATCAGTTTTAACCCTCATGTTCTACTTGTGGTCTGAATGACCAAATAGCTCTTTAAACATAGGCTACTTAACATTAAAGTAACACGCTGAAGCTTAGAACTGGTTAAAAAAATGTCAACATGATGATACACAAAAAGTCCTTATGCACTATTATGTTTGAAGTATCATAGACCCCAGATATGAAACATTTAAAATACTAATATTCTCTTACTAGAAATAGCCTACACTCATACTAGTTTATATTGACTTTTTTTTATTGTTTTGTTCTGCAATGTGCTTTTGCCCAAACAAAAACAATGCTAGGATTCCAGCAGTGGTGTTCTGAAAAGAGGAGTCAAAGCCCAGTAGCCTATTTCTCATCAAGTGGTTGTTTTAAAGTCAGCATGAAACAGAAGTTGCAATAGTATTTGCTTCCCCATTGTGACGTTTGAAATGGCTGCACTAGTGAAACAGCTTCTCGAATGAAAAAATTTAGGGCGGGACTTGATTTTGTCTATTGGGAATTGATTGGATGGTTTTGGTTTGCTATTGCTGTGATCTCATGTGAGTGACGAGTTGTCCCGGCCTTGCGCCAGTAAAAATGTCAGCATTCACTTGACGCATAAATCTGAAAATCAGACAATTCGGACAATATATTGTGGAATATATTGTAAGATGACTGCAACACTGTATTGACCAATCAGAAGCCAGGAGCAAACTATCCATTTAATACTATCCACCTTTTTCCTGGTTAGCGAATTTACCCATGATTCATAGCGGGTTTGAACCGGAAGTCGGTTGTCCTTTTCCGGTTCGAAGCTTGTGTACGTTTGATAGCTTGTAGCTTGCTATCTTGTTTGCTGTAAAAGCCGGTGTTTCTCCATGGATGAAGCACAAATGGAACTTAGCAAGTAGAGGTTAGCCGCTGAACAGGAAACACAATACCGGAAAGCGGAAGTAGGTCAGCACCCATTGGTTGCTGGAGAAACAGGCGGATACAAGAATACTGTACTATACTATAGTTACTTTTCTATTGAAAATTGTGTTTAAAGGTTTTGGTGGAATATCACACACCACACTGCAGAACACTTCTGTCACTGCTTGACATTTCATGAAGCTTGTGAATAACAGTTATTTTGTGCTTTTCTGAAGAGGTCTGAATGCTCACACTTTGTAACACATCTTTCCCTCGCCGGTCAAAATGACCCGAAGCCCTAAAATTATACTTACGTTTTTTTTCTTTTCTTTTTTGATGGTATTTTTTTTTCTATTTTTTAATGCAATCTTTTGGAGATTAATATAATATATATTTTTTTTACCTTTAAATTAGTAGATTTGATTAGTAAATAATAAATAAATAAATAAATAGTAATTTAATCACATTCCTTACATTCTTTCAACTTAAATTCAAAATAACTCACAATTTCATGCTTTTTAATTCTGCTCAAAATATCTTTCATTGGGTGTCTTTGCCGACCTCTTGTAGAAAAATAATAATATAACATGATATTTCATGACTCTTGCCCCTAGATGGCCTTATTATAGCTATATGGAGCAAATGAGGTGTTCCGCTGGGTCCTAAAGTCAGTTCTTTTCAGTATGCATTTAGATACACATGTAGACTTTATAAAATATTTTTTTGGTAAAGTTTTGGCATTTTTCGTTTGAATTTTGAGCATTTTTAGGTTTTTCTATGCGTAGTGAAGCATTCCTCACATTCCATTCATTCCTAATTGGGTCAAATTGACCCGTTTCTTTTTTTTTATTAAAAAACACAAAACTCCTCGAATCCATTCGATTTTTGTGTGTGTGTGTATTCGTGGTTCAAGTGCGACAATAGTGCTATGGTCTTGGACCCCTCTGATGAACACTTTAGTTAGTTTCGGGTCAAAATGACCTGAGGGAAGGATGAGGGTTAAGCGATTTTTGAAAAATACTGCTGAAAGTGGATCGGACCAAGCACCACAACACACTTGTAGCCAATCAACAGTAGGGGGCGTGTCCACTCATGATTCATCTCCATGCTTCCTTGTTATTCGTTCATCCTCTTCGCTTTATTTTTCGTGAAGCATTATTTTGCTTCACTTCTGCTGTGATGTTTGTGCATTTTGGGGAAGGGTGTGTTTGGTTGGGTTGATTTCAAATATCAACAGTGTTCAACAACGATTTTGAAAAATTGCATACTGCACCTTTAAGGGTGAGAATTAGTGCTATCACTGAGTTTAAAGATATGTGTGATAACCATACATTTTAGTAAGCTGATTTTTTCTTTTCTTTAAGATCACAAGATATAAATCAATACTGCCAAAGTCCAAAGTCTCAAAATCTGAGGCAAGAGCAGTATCTTTTGGTTTGGAGAATGCTTTCCCTGTGGCCTCTATTTCTTCATATTCCCATAATTCCACAAACAGTTGAGCAAAGCCATACACACTTGTAAGTGTTTGTTCTTGTGCAGTTCGGGACAATATAGGAGCTTCTGGAAGTGGAAAGTAACTCGATATCCTCAGTAAGCTGTTCGAGTCTAATAATAACTTTCAGCATGTGGGGAATTTGGTGGCTGGTTTATATTATGCTTCTCCATTGTGTCCTGTGATTTCTGTTGCATCTTATCTGCACTCAATACACATTTTTGGGGAAAGAATATGGTAATATTACTAGGGATGCACCGAAATGAAAATTTTGGACCGAAACCGAAAATTCTGGATGCACTAGTCCAAAAACAGAAATTGAAATGGGCTTTAAAAAAAAAGAATTATTCATTTCTTATTTTAAATTATTTTATTTTTTTGTATAATTGTATTATTATTATAGACTGAATTGAATTAAATTCAATCATTTTTCTGAATCTGAATTTATTTAGATTAACATAGATTGTTTGGCCGTGTGTTTGACCCTTTGCCCGTTATATGAATTACGATTCAGGATTGTCCCAACAAAGCTGCATTTGGATCTTTAACCCAAGTCTCTGAGCAGTTCTTAACAAATGATTGAAAAGGTCATTTATTCCTGTGATTCAAAGCTGAATTTTCAGCATCATTACTTTTTAGTCTTCAGTGATGCCTCAGAAATCATTCTAATATGCTGATTTGCTGCTCAAGAAACATTTATTATTACCAATGTTGAAAACAGTTGTGCTGCTTAATATTTTTTGTGGAAACGTGATACCATTCAAAAGTTTTTTTTTATTATTATTATTATTAAGGATGCATTAAATTGTGACAGTAAAGTAATTTATAATGCTACAAAAAAGGATTTCTATGAAAATAAGTGCTATTTATCAATGAATCCTGAAAAAAAAAATCAGTTTCCACAAAAAACAAACTTTGAGTGAAGACTGAAGTAATGGTTGCTGAAAATGGACAAAAATGCAGCCTTGGTGAGAAATAGAAATATTTTTAACATTATAAATGTCTTTACTTTTTATCAATTCGATCCATCTTTGTTGAATAAATATATATATATATATTTAGTTAATGGTAGTGTATCACGTTTTCAACAAAAATATTAAGCAGCAAAAACTGTTTTCAGCATTGATATTAAGAAATGTTTCTTGAGCCCACAGTTCATCATATTAGAATGATTTCTGAAGGATCATGTGACACTGAAGAGTAATGATGCTGGAAATTCAACTTTACCATCACAGGAATAAATTACATTTAACCTGTTAACTGGCACCCCCCTTTTTTTTTGCATAGACATAAAAATCACTATCCAAACTTAAATGGTTGTAATTCAGGAATGCTTTGGAATATAGACCTATGGCTGGTCTTGTTTTAAAGAAGACATTTTCCAGATTATTGTAGAAGTCCAGAAATTGTAAAAAATGAAACAGAAAAAAAGTTATATAAGTTTGAGTTTATGAAATTGTGTAATGTAAAAATATAATGATTAATATTTTATATAAAATATATATATTACAAAATATATTTTACTCTAAAACTGCAAGAAAATTAAAGTCAAATATCTGAACAAGTTGTATTCCAAATTTTAGGTTGATATCTCAAAAAATGAGCTTTCAGTAAGATTTTATTCGGGCGCAGTACCCAACTTTTTCACTAGGTGAACACCAGACTCCATTACTGCCCATATAAGGGCGCCTCCATTTTCATATGTTTTGAGTGATCTGAACCATGTATTTCCATAATTTTCATACAATTTATGAAGTAGACATCCTATTCAGAAGTAGTAGGGGTGGTTTGGCAGTATTTGATTTGAATTAAACCTCTAATAAATGCATAAAGACTACGTTATAGCGTTATAGCTCGCAGCCGCATTACAAATCGAGAATCCATACATTTTTCTTTATATTTAAAACATTTTCAGACCTTTTTTTCTCATAAAATGGAATTGGTGTTATCTTTTGAACTCATGGCATGAAAACAAACTGAGGTTTCTACCAATCTTTCATGATTTTTCATGTTTATTGTTATTTCAAAATAAAGGCCTAAATACTCCTAATGAATATGAAATATTCTTGTTGCAAATTGATACATTTCTGCTCCTCTGTAATATATTTTAGATAACAGCCACCAAATATGAAAACTAGAGATTTTAAGCTTTCAAATGATATATAGTTTGGCAATATTACTTTAGGTTTTTACTAAGATATTATTGTTTTAAACATGCAATGGCAAATGGGCCATTAAATGGGCCATCAAAAAAAAGTTTTGATATATATATATATATATATAATAGAAGCAATCTTTCCTGATGTTCTTTAGGCTCTTCAGCAGCTCTACTATGATCCTGAAATGGGAAAGAAGAATGTGGCCCAGAAGTGGCTCACACAAGCCCAGGCATCACCCCAAGCATGGCACTTCTGCTGGGCTTTGCTCCGGCCAGACAAAGTAAGCAATACGGGCGACTACGGCGCACTTTAATTTTCCCTGCATTAGATTTACAGTTCTTTTTTATTCCGTTTCACATTAGGTTCCAGAGATCCAGTTCTTCGGGGCAAGCACATTACATGCTAAAATTTCCCGCCACTGGTCTGACCTCCCAACAGGTCAACTAGACTCTCTCCGTTCGCAGCTCATCGCCCAGGTCGGCCAGTTCGCGTCAGGTCCTAAGATGGTGCTGACGAGACTCTGTGTTGCTCTGGCCTCTTTGGTCCTTCACGTCGTACCCGAAACATGGCCAACCGCAGTGCCTGATCTTCTGTGTGCCTTCCAGACAGGGGAGGTTGTGACAGAGGCTGACGGTCAGGCCCGATGCCTTGCGCTTCTAGAGATCCTCGGCGTTCTGCCCGAGGAGCTTCAGAGCAGCAGGATCGCTGCCTCTCGGCGTTCACAGCTCAGAGGTGTTCTGGCTGTGGAGTGGAGCTCCGTCTGCTCGCTGCTCCAGCAGTTACTACAACAGGCAGACGCTCCCTGTGGGGTCAGAGAGCGGGTGATGAGGTGCGTGTCCTCCTGGCTCACGCTGGACATCGCTTTGAAAGACAGCGAGGGGCTGCTGCAGAGCTGCTTTGCCCTCCTCAAGGAGTCTGAGCTCTTTGACATGGCTGTGGAAACCATCGTCAGCATCATCTCACAGCCTGATTGTCAGAGGTGAGATAGGCCATATATATGAGACAATGTACTGTCGAAACAAGCACTATTTCCTTTCATGCATTAATAGTTCTGAGCTTTCCTGTAAATCACGTAAATTGTTTGCTTCCTCTTGTCACTTAATAGTACACTCAGAAAATATTTAGGCCTAAATTTAAAGTGCTTTATTTTAAAGGTTCACAATTTTGTTTTGGAGGTCTCCTACAATAGGTTTACATGCATCCAAGATCAAAAAACACTTTCATTTTCTCATAATATACATTACACATCACCTCATTTCTCAAAGAGTCTGAAAACAGTTAGTTCGAAGATTCTCTCTGAACCGAGAGCTTACTCTGCTCTGATTGGTCCACCGCTTACAGCGGGTGTCGGAAACCAAATATCCATTCAATCATAGATGATTGAAAACAGGGCCTTCTGGACATGACGAACCAAACTCTTCCAGGCCTCAGCTACAACTAGTGTTTAAGGCTAGGGGTCGAATTGGACGTTGTGTGTGGCAGCCAATAAAGACCATAGTTTGGCATTATGCAAATGTGTTGCATTGTTATGTAAGTTTGTACCAGGAAGTGAGACTGGAATTGCTGACGACTCATTTCAGCTGTTCAGAATCGATTCTTTCTCTTAGGAGACTAACTTTTTGTCTTGCATTTTCATCTATAAAACTTTGCAGCTTTTACATTCACAAACAGCCGCCATATTACACACTGCATGAAAGGGAATTTTCGAAAAAGCATTGTATTTGATTATAAAATTTCCATTCATTTGCATTATGCAGTTTTAACATAAACAAACCAATCTATATTTATCAGCAGGGCTTGATGTCTATTTTTACATGCCACCATATGATCCTTTGGTAACACTTTATTTTACAATGTCATTGTTACATATGTTACATGCAGTTACTATAATAATAACTATAAATTATGCATAATTACATGTAACTAACCCTAAACCAAACCAACCCCTGCAAGTACATAATATTACTTTTCTAAAAATATGTTATTTTAGTTATCGTATTATGATTACGATATATAATACTTTGTCTGTATGTAATGCATCTTAATAACTCTAGATGTAATGTATGTAAAAAGACATTATAATCAGGGATGCTCTCTTATTCAAAATGAGTTGTTTCAAATTAAGGAAAAAAAATGCAGATGTTATAAATGTACATTTCTATACTGCTTACTGTTATAAAATAAATAAAAATCAAGTACAAAACAGTAAAATCTAAATTAATAAGGATTCCACAGTCTGATGATGTTTAGTATGAAAGATTCATGAGATTCATATTGTTAGGGGTGAACAGTTAAAGACCCAGAACCAGATATGATGAATGAAGACCCGGAGTCAGAATTATAATGAATTAAAGAAAAGATTTACTGAAGATAGTTTGCAGTTTCATCAGCAGAAGTCAGCTTCAAGACTCACACAGGAGTTCGTAGGCCGCCCCATTTACAGTTACAAAGATCACAGCATTATACCATTCACCAAGGTCCTTCAGGTTGCAGTTTGTGATTGGCTAAGAACACATATAGTCTAAGTTATTTTCCTCACATATACAGACTGAAGCATCTCTCCATAGATTATGCAGCTGACACACAGACCCAGAAGTTTAGGCACGTCATGACCTTCCAGGTCACAGATTTGGGCCAGTGGTTCCTTAACCATCAACCAAGAAGACTAACAAACACACCGACACACAGCTTTTCCAAGGTTGGATTTGGCCAGGCTCTAACTATAAACAGGAGAGTCCTCTCAAAACATCAAGATAAAGCGTTCTCTCTCTCAAGGATAGCTAGACTTTAGTCTAACTGGAAAGCAAGGCTTTAACTGAGAAAGGTTCCCTTAAACTATTGGCTTCAACGACCCCTATATGTTTTAAAACCTTTCTCAAACACAAAACAAGTCCCTATTTCATTTCTGGAAGCCGGGCTAAATGAGCAAGCACTGTTACGGCATTCAGATATCAAATACAGACATTAAAGGGTTAGTTCACCCAAAAATGAAAATTCTGTCAGTAATTACTCACCCTCATGTTGTTCCAACCCCGTAAGACCTTCGTTCATCTTCGGAACACGAATTAAGATATTTTTGATGAAATCTGAGAGCTGGATCACTCCTCCATACTAGTCCATAGGCTTCTTCAGGGATTGAACTTGCCGGCCTCGAAAAGTTATTAAAGACATCGTTAAAATAGTCCAAGTGACTACATTGGCTCAATCTTAAGTTTATCAAGCGACGAGAATACTTTTTGTGCGCAAAAACAAACAAAAATAACGACTTTATTTCAACTATTCATGTCCATCTCTTTGGGCCTCTAGTCAGTTAACGTAGTGTGATTCCGTAGAGCTACGTCACACGTAGGCTCACTATTGGCCGACGCTGGTCATGTGCGTGATGCGTGTGACGTACAACAACAGAAGCTTACGCTATTACACTGGTGAACTGACTCGAGGCACAGAGAAGGAAATGAATAGTTGAAATAAAGTCGTTATTTTGGTTTGTTTTTGCGCACAAAAAGTATTCTCGTCACTTGATAAACTTAAGATTGAGCCACTGTAGTCACTTGGACTATTTTAACGATGTCTTTAATAACTTTTCGAGGCCGGCAAGTTCAATCCCTCAAGAAGCCTATGGAGGAGTGATCCAGCTCTCAGATTTAATCAAAAATATCTTAATTCGTGTTCCGAAGAGGAACGAAGGTCTTACGGGGTTGGAACAACATGAGGGTGAGTAACTTTTCAATGCGTTACTCAATGTGAGTTGACATTTCAGTAATCACACTGGTAACTACTATAACAAAGTAAAATCTCACAAGCCTAGAGAAGTCATTCAACTCATTTTATATTTAGGAAAAATATTGATTAATACCTTGATTATAATCACTCATTCATTACATATACTTTGAAGCAGCAGTGGATTCCAATCCACCCCCTTCAGTATTCATTTAGCAAAAAAATTGTTCAAAGAACATCCCAGCAGAGTTGAGAATCTTAAAACCAAAGGATATAAATGATTGGCTGGGTATTCAGTTGGTGTACTTTTCTTAAAGAAATTAACTAATTGAATGCACAAACAAAACAATTCATATTCAATATTGGCTGATCATTTTGGGGGAAAAGTGTGATTGTATGATATGATAAAATTTTTCCCTACACAAGGAAACTAACCATCACTTGACATATAATTGTCAATTAAGACAATTAATTAAGCATACAAATGTATTATTACTCTGTGTGTTTGTTGATGTGGAGGTTTGCAGACAGTCTGCTGAAGGTTGTTCCTCAGGTTCTGGGTCTTCAGGAGCAGCTAAAGAAGGCAGTGCAGGATGGAGACATGGAGACGTCTCATGGAATCTGTCGCATTGCTGTAGCTCTGGGAGAAACGCATTGCAGGTTGGACGTAATGACTTCTATGCATCATTAATCTCCCATTAATAAGATGGCCTGGGCCTATTCATCATTCGACTGCCCTTGTCTGTTTGATGAAACCTCTTCTGCCTCTTTCTGTCCCTCTCGTTCCCCAGGACTCTTCTGGAGCAGGTGGATCACTGGCAGGGCTTTCAGGCTCTAGTGAGCATGATTATGTCCTGCACTGCTACACCTGGACGTTACCCTGTGGATGAGACCTCCAGCTCTCTCACACTCACATTCTGGTACACCCTACAGGTACAGCAGGTCCAGACAGAACAATCACTCAAGTGTGGTGCCAAGTTCCAACTGGTTTTGCATTGACTTGAGCAGATATGAGGTTTTGAGCTTATATCGGCGGCTTGTTTCAGGATGAGATGACGTCATTGGATGCTGAGAGGCAGACACTCTATCTACAGATCTACAGACCTGTGTACTTCCAGCTGGTGGACGTTCTGCTGCAGAAGGCCTGTTTTCCCAGAGATGAGGACTATGCCACATGGTCCGCAGATGACAAAGAGCAGTTCAGGACCTACAGGTTAAACTAGATTTTTAAGAGACTGCAAAAAAAAATATAGCTGCGAGCAGCGATTACGGGCCCAAGCCGGTGGCACCGCAACCCCGGTGCCTTTAGTTACCTAAAGGCACCGGGGTGGCGGTACCACCGGCTTTGGCCCTTCATCGCTGCTCGCAGCTATATTTATATATATATATATATATATATATATATATATATATATATATATATATATATAAAGCCGGTGGCACCGCCACACTGGTGCTTTTAGGGTTATTGTGCACGACGTGCAAAAACGTAACCCTGCTTTGACTGTCGAAAAGAAGTGTGCTGTAGAGCTTGTATCAGTGTGGGCTCTGCAAAAGTGTGCATTGAGGGCACATATCAACCACAAAGTATGCGAGAGCAACCTTCTGAAAGGTCAGGTCTACATCCAGGTCTACATCTGCCATGTGTTTACATCATAGTAGTGAAGTTTGAAGCAATCAGGTGATTTCAAAGCTTTTTGAAAGTGACAGACTTCCTGCTGCCAGTTGGTGGCGCTATAACCGGGGTGGCGGTGCCGCCGGCTTTGGCCCTTTCATCGCTGCTCGCAGCTATATTTATATATATACACACACAAACACACACACACACACACACATATATATATATATATATATATATACATAAATATATATATATTGTTTTTTTAAGAGACAAGACAGAATATTACTTGCCTGATCTGATTAGAAAAATAGTGTTTGTGTGTGTGTGTGTGTGTGTGTGTGTGTGTGTGTGTGTGTGTGTGTGTGTGTGTGTGTGTGTGTGTGTGTGTGTGTGTGTGTGTGGCGTAATTGAACAATGTAGACATAAAAACATACTCCGTCCTTTTGTTCATACAGGACATTATTCAAACTGCAAAGTGTTTACTTATATTTGTGTACACTTGCAATAAAACACAACATTGTGCTTTTGTCAAGCTATAAACTCTTGTCAAACTGTAAACTACAACTGTCACCCAACCAAAATCTCTTACACACACACACACACACACACACACACAGTTTAAAAGCAAAAAATATCAAACAATCCTATTTAAAAACAGTCTGTGGGAGCCATCTTTTGGACATTCATCATATCGCATTGGTTTTCATTTCTTGTCATCAAACAGAGCCCTAATCTGTTTATTTTTTCAGTTACACATTCTACATTGATTAAAAAAGAAAAATCAAATGTGTTTTTATTTTATACAGAAATAAATAATCTATCATTCAGATGAGAATAAAGTTAGTGTTAGTTCAAATTTTAAGGAAAACAAATATATGATCTGAAATATAGCACATTCATTTAAAATTCATTCAGGTTCAATTACCAAACATACAATCTTAATGTAATTTAAAGCAAACAATACATTTAAAATATATGGGTTGTATGACTATTTTTTAATATAAAAAGATATATATCCAAAAAGACAAGGCCTAAAGTTTAACAAGGGTTAAACTCTTATCACTGTAACAGACACAATCACACACACAATCACACACACACACACACAAGTCAAATCACTTACATTTTACATGCAATATTGACTTTTTTTCTGTTTCAGCAGCGAAAATAGTTAAACAAAGATCACAGCAGAACCATCGCGCATCTCACAGCAACGCGTTCTCATTACTGAATGATTCAGCATTTTGAACGAATCGGTTGACTCAAAGATTCAATGACCAATCAATCCATAAACATCTATCTCATTCATGAATGACTCAGTCGTTCAAACGAATGAATCAATGACTCGCTCATTAAGACGGTCGCCTGGCGACACCTAATGACGGTTTAGTGTTATGTTTAAAAGTATCATTCTTTCCAACGATTGTTAATTAACTCATATTTGAAACATAAGCTATATTTATATATATACATACATATACACAGACATACACAAAAATAAAATAAAAACACATTTGAAATGTGTTTGCTTACTAAATTGTGAGCTGAACGAAAGTTGCAGCAAATATCAGCAACAGGAGTCAAATTTCATTAATCACGAGAGTGAAGAGCTGACTGAAAAGATGATGACGGAATAGGCTATTTTATGTAAAAACGCCTATTTAAGCGAATCTGTCATTGTACTCTTTTATTGTTGTGTTTTCCGTGAAAAATAATAGACTATTGAACTCACAATTCAAGCAATCGGCCCCCGAAATTGCACTAATTTTAGTGACACTAAAAAGTATGCGGCTGCACTGGCATTCATAATGGTGCGCGTCCATGGCGACGAGCGAGCAGAACAGAGCGAACGTTTAGTTAATTTCTACTTCCATAGGAATTCATTCGAGCGCCACCATTTCAATGTCTGTGCGGACGTCCATATTATACTTTCGCTTTCAAGTTAGTGTTTTTAAACCCCCCAGCGGCAGGTTTACACAATTGGTTTACACAATCACACGTTGATTAACCGGTGGGAAAATATTCCCATAGTAACATCCCTAATATATAAATATTTATAAATTCAATAGGCCTACCTGATTTTGAACACAAGAGGGCAGTATAGCACTATATATGATTTGGATTATTATTATTTTTGACTAAACAACCATTCTGGCTGTTTTTAAACTTAAAAATAATTCTTAAATTGAAAAAAAGGAATAAAATGGGTTTAGTTCTAATATTTGTATAATTTTATATAAAAATAAATGGTGTATAATTACATTTTAGAAAGATATGAGACATGCCCTGATTCTTTTTTTGACATTACTTGAATCCCTCAACCATAGCAAAACCGTTTGAGATATTCAATATCTGTTCACAATTTAGCATCTTCAATGTATTTTCATCATGTTGAAAAAGTTTGGCATGAATAAAATAAACTACTTAGGAGGAGTAGCTAAAAACTCAGAATCTGAAATCCACATTCAAACCAAAATATCTGACTTCCTGTTGGTCGTAGCTAATTACGGTAAATTAGAAAGTTGTCCGGCTCGAAGAGTACAATATACATATCGAGTTTTGTTACTGTAGATAAAACTAACCCCCCCACTTTTGTCAAAAGCATTTAGAAAGTGACACACTTCCTGCTGCCAGTTGGTGGCGCTATAACTTTGACTCACAATAGTCACATCCATGTGATCGGCCTCTTACAGCGATCACACTGCTGAAGTTTCATCAAGATCAGTTAATGTATGCAGAAGTTATAACGCACTTCTTGTTTGTTGTTTCTCGCCATAAATTCGTTTCCTCGCCACGGCCAAACCGTTCGAGATATCAAAAATCCCCTCGCAAACTTTCATCCTCAATGTCTTGACTTCATGCTGACCGAGTTTCGTGCCGTTTGTTTGAATTCTCTAGGAGGAGTATTTCACATTCCATTGCGTGTGTTTTACCAACAACCCTAAATAGCCGACTTCCTGTTGGGCTGGGGTAAAAAGTAAGAGTGTGAAGTATATATGAAACGAGGAGATCTACATGTGTACCGAGTTTCATATTATTACATGCAAGGGTGTTTGATTTATGGACCATGTTTTCGGACCCCGTTCCAGGGGGCGCTGTCGAGCCCCCCTGCCACGCCCGGGTACCATCTTCAGCCCGGCCCTGATGGCCGCGGGTTCTGACATGTGTGCAAAGTTTCAGGAGTTTTTGAGCATGTTAAGGCCTCCAAAAGTGTCCAAAAGGTAGTAAAAAAATAATAATAATAATAAATATAGCTGCGAGCAGCGATTACGGGCCCAAGCCGGTGGCACCGCAACCCCGGTGCCTTTAGTTACCTAAAGGCACCGGAGTGGCGGTGCCGCCGGCTTTGGCCCTTCATCGCTGCTCGCAGCTATATTTATATATATATATATATATATATATATATATATATATAAACAAGCCGGTGGCACCGCCACCCCGGTGCCTTTAGGGTTACTGTGCATGACGGGCAATATCGTAACTCCGCTTTGACCTTTGAGAAGATGTGTGCTGTAGAGCTTGCTTTGGTGTGGGCTCTGCAAAAGTGTGCATTGAGGGCACATATCAACCACAAAGTATGCGTGAGCAACCTTCTGAAACCTAAAATGAAAAATGAGACACCCTACGGTCTCATGGACTTAATGCACACATGAAATAAGTACACAAGTTTGAAAGTTATATGAAGTGTGCCAAGACAGAATATTACTTGCCTGATCTGATTAGAAAAATAGTTGGTGTGTGTGTGTGTGTGTGTGTGTGTGTGTGTGTGTGTGTGTGTGTGTGTGTGTGTGTGTGTGTGTGTGTGTGTGAGGCGTGATTGAACAATGTAGACATAAAAACATACCCCGTCCTTTTGTTCATACAGGACATTATTCAAACTGCAAAGTGTTTACTTATATTTGTGTACAATCACAATAAAACACAACATTGTGCTTTTGTCAAACTGTAAACTACAACTGTCACCCAACCGAAATCTCTTACACACACACACACACACACACACACACACACACACACACACACACACACATAGTTTAAAAGCAAAAAAAATCTTTTGGACATTCATCATATTGCATTGGTTTTCATTTATTGTCCTCGATCAGAGCCCTAATCTGTTTATTTTTTCAGTTACACATTCTACATTGATTAAAAAAGAAAAATCAAATGTGTTTTTATTTTATACATAAATAAATAATCTATCATTCAGATGAGAATAAAGTTAGTGTTAGTTCAAATTTTAAGGAAAACAAATATATGATCTGAAATATAGCACATTCATTTATAATTCATTCAGGTTCAATTACCAAACATACAATCTTAATGTAATTTAAAGCAAACAATACATTTAAAATACATGGGTTGTATGCTATTTTTTTTTATATAAAAAGATATATATCCAAAAAGACAAGGCCTAAACTTTAACAAGGGTTAAACAATCACTGTAACAGACACAATCTCACACACACACACACACACACACACACACACACACACACACACACACACACACACACACACACACACACACACACACACGTCAAATCACTTACATTTTAGATGCAATATTGACTTTTTTTTCTGTTTCAGCAGCG